TGCCCAACCTGGCCAGCGCCGCGCGCAGCCAGCAGCTTATCAGCCATATCGCGCACAGCAGCATACGTGGGCGACAAATCCACGTAGATCTAGATCAAGTATATGATCAACTATCACCTCCTCTTCTAGCTTAGTGAGCTTCTTTGAGTTAGGCTGGCAATCGCGTCGAGCAGGTATACCAGCGCGTCGGCGGCGGATTGTTCGTTCAGACACGTTGTAGACAGCAGCAGCGCGATGATTACTTTGTGTTTGATGGAGATTAATAGAAGAAATAGCAAGCTGAATATCTGCTTCATTTAAAGCTAATTGAGTAGCGCTACGTTGAGCCATTGTTCGTTGAGATAGGAGAGGTGCGCAGGTTTGGTGGGGTGCGGCGCTCGCTTACCTGCGGCGCTCGCTTGCCACATACGTTATATATAATTTACATACTCAAACATAGCATAAATACCCCCTCCCCTTTGACGGGATCAAAAACAAACACTACCCAGTCCGCCCATGATAACTTTTTTTACAACTTGCTCGCGCCGCCCATGAGCTCGACACCCGCACCGCTAATGGCCAGCTTACCCGTCTCCTTGACCTTAGTCTGGAACATGACTGTGTTGCCGACCTTCCACATCTCGGTGATGAGTGTCTGGCCGGGGAGCACGACGCCGGCAAAGCGGACCTTGATGTTCTTGTAAGGGCCGTAGGTTTGCAGAATGTGCTTGCCCGAGATACCGAAGCTGCACAGGCCGTGGAGGATGGGCGTGGGGAAACCGCCGACCTTGCTGAACTCGGGGTCGACGTGGAGAGGGTTCAGGTCGCCGCTCAGGCGGTACAGGGCTGCTTGCTCTTCTGTTGTGCGCTCCTCGACGACTGTGTCGGGGTTGCGCTTGGGGGGTGTGTACACCTTGGTTGATGCACCGCGGTCGGTGCCCTTCTTGGGGCCGCCAAAGTTACCCGAGCCGCGGATAAAGACAGTGCTCTCGTTGTAGAAGATATCCTCTCCAGTGTTGGCGTCCTTTGTGGTGCTGCCGTAAACGACCAGACCAGCAGCGCCCTTGTCGACGACCTCGATCAGCTTGGGAATCGAGACGAGCTTGGCACTGGTGGGAATGGGGAACTTTCGGATCTCGAGGAACTGCTCGCCGTGGAGAAGCATGCGGAAGTCAAAGTTGGGGACGATTTCGTCAAACTTGAATGTGTGCTCGGCGTTGAAGGGAGGGATAACACCGAATGTAGGGATGACCTGGAAGTTCTCGTGGCCTTCGTAGATGAAGGGAAGATCAGTGCGCTTTGCGCCAACTCCGAGGTCTGTCGTCACTCGTCAGATTGTGCCAGCTGTAGCGTTGGGGCACAGGAAACTTACTGTAAATGATGGAGTCGCGCTCAGTGTACTCAAAGGGGCTCTCCTTGCCCTTGGCAGCCAAAGCCTTCCTCTGGGCTTCGAGGACCTCCTCGTTAGTCTTGGAATCCTTCTGCTCCTTCTTGCCCTTGCTCGTGTTCTCCATGTTTGCCATGATGGACTTGAGTCCGCTAGCGTTGTCGAAGGGGTGGTCAGCACGGCCGTCGTCGAAGTTGGTGATGCGTCCCCATTGCGAGACGACAGCCTCAGGGGTAAGCTTGACGTCGACGGGGAATCCGTGACCGCCAGTGCGTTGCCACCTGGTGGCAGCGAACCAGCCAGGGCCCATCTCGTACAATCCACCTGTTGGCTCAGGAGCCTTGTCAGAGGCGAGAAGAACCACAAGAGGAACGTTGTAGTCAGGCTTGAGGGCCTGGACAACCTCCTCTGGCATGATGGTGCGGGTCATCTGAGTACCAGCGTTGGGAGCAACCGTGTTGACAAAAATGTTGTTCTTCTTGCCCTCGAGAGCGAGGGACTTGGAGAAACCGATGATACCACACTTGGCCGAGGCGTAGTTTGCCTGGCCAAAGTTGCCGTAGATGCCGCTGGTAGAAGTGGTGTTGATGATGCGGCCGTACTTTTGCTTGAGCATGTGAGGCCAGGCAGCCTTGGTGCAGGCGTAGGTGCCGAACAGGTGCACCTTGTGAACGAGGTCCCACTGCTCGTCGGTCATGTTGGCAAAAGCCTTGTCACGGAGAATACCAGCGTTGTTGACCAGGATGTCAACGCGGCCGTATGTGTCAATGGCCGTCTTGACAACAGCCTCGCCGTCCTGGACATCAGCCTTGTTGCCAACGGCCTCTCCACCCAGCTTCTGAATCTCCTGAACAGTATTGTCGGGGTTGACCAGGTCGTTGACAACAACCTTGGCGCCGCGCTTGGCAAGTTCCAAGCAGTATGCGCGGCCGAGACCAGCGCCTCCACCTGTAACGATGGCGACCTTGCCCTTGAGGTCAAACTTCTCGCCCTGGGGGTTGGGAGGAAGCTGTTGCGCCTGCTCAATCTGCTCGAGAGGGTTGGGCGGGCCTTGAGCGTGCTCGGGCTTGGAGAAGTCGACAACGTCCTTCCACTTGGCCAGAACAGCCTCGGGAGTGAGCGTGTCGTCAAGTCTGAGGCGAGCACCGCTGGAGCGCTCCCAGCGCAGCTTGGCCATGTGGCCGGCACCAGCCTCGAAGATGGAGCCCGTCTCCTTGGACGACTTGTGTGTAAGGACGGCGACGAGCGGGACAACCCACTCGGGCTTCATCTTGGCAAGCACCTCAGGGGGCATGACTGTCTCCGTCATTCGGCTGGCGGCGATGGGGGCGACGACATTGCAGAGGATGTTGTACTTGAGACCCTCCTTTGCGAGTGTCTCGGTAAAGCCAACGAGGGCGAGTTTGGCGGCTGCGGCAGTCAGCACCCGATCAAGGGCCGAGTTGGGCGTTCAAGCTTACCAGAGTAGTTTGTCTGTCCAAACGATCCAAACAGTCCAGCAGCGGACGCGGTGCTGATCAGGCGTCCGTACTTTTGTTTCCTAAAGTATGGCCATGCGGCGTGTGCGCACTTGTATGCTCCGTAGACGTGGACCCTGTAGATGAGATCCCAGTCGGCCTGCTTCATGTTCTTGAAGCTGACATCTCGCAGAATGCCGGCATTGTTGATGAGAATGTCGATGCGGCCAAAGTTGTCAATGGCCGTCTTGATAATGGCCTCTCCGTTCTCGACCGAGTCGTAGTTGGCGACTGCTTTGCCGCCTGCCTTGCGGATCTCGTCGACGACCTTGTCGGCGGCCTGTGCAGCGCAAGTCAGTCATGCTGCGCTAGAAGATTTTGCAAATCCGAGGTCAAGACATACCACTGAGCCCTTGCCCTCGCCCTTGAAGCTGGCGCCGAGGTCGTTGACGACGACGTTGGCGCCACGGCTGCCGTAAAAGACGGCATACTCGCGACCCAGCCCACCGCCAGCACCCGTGACTACAACTGTCTGGCCGTCATATCGCAGCTCTTGCGCAGCCATGGTGTGTGTATGTGTGTATGTACGTATACAAGATGTGGGAAGGGGATAGCTCCTGGGTCGCGTCTAGAGGAGTGTCGCGACTGTGCAATGCTCAGATGAAGCAAGAAAGAAAGTAGCAAGTGGGAGCAGGGAATCAACAAAAGACCCCAGGAGTGCCAAGTGGGGAAATGGACGAGTGTGAGATGGGAGAGAAGAGGTTGCTAGGAGATGTGTCGGTAGATATTGTAAGGTGGTGCTCGTTCGGCCATGTCTCATGAAAGCTGCCGAGCTGGTCGCAATGACGAGTTACCTCGGCCCCGGCGGCAGTTGGTCATGTGTGGGGGACGGCGAACCGTGCGTCAGCACTCTTTCACATGCCTTGTCGCATTGCCATCTTCTGCTACGCATCAGCTCTGCGCCTTCATAGGACAGCCAGAGCAATCACGTTCCGTCTGGTCTGGGGTCTCCAGGGCTTGGCCGCGGGACTCTGATCTCATCAGGGGACTAGTGAACCACGACCAGAATCAGTCGAAGCATGTGGCCGCACATTGTGAACACGTCGCAAGGTCAAATCGAGTGTGAGCTGGGTTCGCACGTCTCTACGTGGGAGTCTGTGGCGTGCGACAAGATACATGTGGCTGGGGTAAGGGTTGTAATAAGAAATCCCACTGTCTCTTCGCTCTGCTGGGAAAGGCGCTGCGAGGTTTGCAACGAACTGGCTGTCTTGCGACAAGCGACGTCATCGCTGCTATCGGCATCCGTTTGTAGGAAACCTTCAGGTAGTTACTCATAAAGCAGATTCGTGTTACAGTTCTGCATTCGGCCAAACAAGAACCCCATACGAATGCCAGCATCTCCACAAAGGGAGAGGCGAGATCTCTTCCCCGCTAAATTCCCTCATGTCTAAGCACTGCATGCAAGGACTTGGTGGCATCTCGAGTCAGGCTCGGCTTTATAGGTGCTAGACTCTTGTTCAAGTAGCATTAATGCTGGCCGGTATTATGTAAGGATGCCATGCTGGAGCAACATAGTTTGAAGCGCTCCGTCGACAGAAATGCCGAACTTATTACCGAATTACAATTGCGCCGTCACCGCCTGTGCATGCCACTCTGCTCATGTACCGCTTGTCAAGCTTACTGGCCATGTCTGGTGGTCTGGTGGTGAATGCCTACCCGGCTGGCAGCCAAGATGTCCGTGTTTGTAGCCGTTCCTGGACCCCTATTGCCCTACGCACGGTACCAGGGCGCAAGCATTCTCGACACGAGACAACCGCGTGCGCACTGTTCGTCTGCAACACCGATAGGGACTGCCTTGGGTTGGGATATTTGTGCGTCAAAGCTGCAACCTCGGTCCGAAACCGCTATGGAGCCCATCTTCTGTCGAGTTGGGCGGATACATGACAGACAGATGCACGTCGGCGTACTGTACGGTGCAAGGACCTCCTTGATCGAGTCTGGGGTTTCCACTCAGGCAAGGCGGAACGAGCGTTGGGTGCAGACACGATTGCTCTTTAGCGAGTCTGAAGACATGTCATGACTCTCCCATGCTGACCTGCCATGGACAAATTCCCTTCTCCATCCATCTCTGTCGATTGCACACACTCCATACGTCTAGTGGCGTGTCTCCCACACCGTATGCCTGTCGAATGGAGCGGAAACTACCACTTGTGGATCGATCCACCACAGACTACTGCATGCTTTGGCATGTGGTACGCAGCGTTTTCCACCGGCCAATCGATTCGCTACGCGCCCTGCGAAAACCTAGTATTCAGTCATCAACCTTACATGCTAGCAAGGTAGCTATACAATGACACAGGGTCGATTTCATCAAATGGGTAAGAGCTGCGCAATATACGTTACCGTTATGCAGCAGTCCGCCGTCAATAGGCTACAAGGACCTGGCCACCGAAGGTCCGGCTGCGTGGATGTCCAGGTCCGACGCGGCGAGAAGCTCTCGAGTGGCATGCAGAGAGTCCCCAGGTGGTGCAAGATAACTCAAACATGTCCTGGTCCGCTCCATCTTCCTCGCCCTACCCTTGGGTTCTTGAAGCCATGATGACGTGGCCATGTTGCCTTGACACGCCTGTACCGGGGCCATGTCAGCGGTGTCATGGCCGACAAGACTCTCAGCGGGCGGGGCTATCCGCCCGCTTGATGCATGCACCTCGTGCTAGCCAACAACCCAAACGCATGCAGTAGCATGCCCTTCCCTTCTGTTTGCATGGAGAATTCCGGAAGCAAGGAATCATGGCGGGCAGCATACATGCCACTTTGAGCCAATGTCGTCAATGGCAGACGGGACAAACAGTCGTGGGAACAGGGTGTGTTTGGAAGGCTGCAGCAGGTCTTTCCCCCTCTCGGGGTACTGCTGAACAGGTGCGCCACATGCCCGATTGTCCGGCAATACGGCTTGCCGAATGAAGCGATGACGCCCAACAATGGTGTAGTGTTAGGATGCAGCTATTCATCAGGCTGATCAGGCTGATGTCTGCTCCAGATCCATTAGCTGAGGAAAGCGCATCTTGCCGTGGTACATTGTACAATCATGTCTCGTTTTCCCATTGCCCGCCGATGAAGGCACAGGGGAGGTGCAGCGCAAACGGAGGGCGACCGTGAAAATCAAGTCCCCTTTCGTATTTCAGACTGCTAATGGCTTCTGCTAGTGTGACAGTCTGCTGAGGTGCATATTTGGCCGGAGCCTTGGTCACGGGTCTGCTTTGCAACGACAGGCTAGTGCCTGGGGAAGCAGATACAGCGCGTGGATCCTTCAAGGTCGGAGGTGGTCCGGCTGCTGCGTTTGTCCCCCTGGGCTTGCGGCCGCTCCGTCAGCCTCCCCTGGTGACGTTGCTGTTCGCCACGATATCGGATACCTAATTTTGCGCCTGTGCCGAGATTATCGCCAGCTCACGGCACTTTGCACATTGCGGAGTGAGTAGTATCAGGTGGCCCTTGTTGTTACTAAAGCAAGCGTTGAATGTCCGGTGTCACCTGCTGCCACTCGTTCATAATCGCTCTTCCCCAGGCCGTATTGTACGACGATTGAATCCAGAACACTCGGGCCGCTCTAGTAACCAAAGCTACCGAGCCAGCACTAGCAATGAGTGACGATACGGAAAGAGTAAGCGTCCATGGCCGGGTATTCCAGAGGATATCGCTAGACGAGAAGATCTACTTTGCTCCGGTAGCCATCGACGACCGCGAGGAGAGCAGGCTGACAGCTCAACATGATCTCATATCCAGACTGTTGGGCAATAGATTGTTCTCTCATCAAATCCCAGTGGCAGAGCCCCGCTCGGTCCTTGAGTGCGGCTATGGTGGGGGGGACTGGGCTGTTCAGTGCGCCGACGAGTTCGAGGATTGTGAGGTGGGTGATGCCACATTGCTGCCGTGCTGGCAAGTGTGGATGGGGTTGCTCAACGCCTGCCAGCTTGCGAGCGTGTACTGACCCAGCACAGGTGACTGCTATTGACATATTCCCCATGTGAGTAGAAAAGATGCGGGGCAGATGGGAGAGACAGGTGGAGGCTGATTTCCGCTTTCCTAGGCATGTCCCGGACCAACCTGACAACTTGGAGTTGATCGGCTATAATCTCAACGACCCGCTCCGCGACCCCGACATCTTCAAGGCGAACCAGTACGACCTCATCCACTCGCGATTCCTAGCTCCAGGGATCAAGAACGGGAGATGGACCCGGTACATTAGAGACATGAAGCTGTTGCTACGACCAGGCGGATGGGTTCAGATGATGGAGTACCTGCCCATTATCCAGTCGCACAATGGCCGCCTTACCGATGAGTCTGCAGTCAGGAGATGGTGGCAGTCATACCAGGCAGCCATGTCTAGGATGGACCGGGATCCAAGGATAGGGCGTCGATTATCGCAGCTGCTGCTCGAGAATCGGTACCGAGACGTGGCAGTCGAGATTAAGCAGCTCCAGATTGGGGGTTGGTCGTCAGGTGGGGTTGCTACTTTCTTTTATGTCTGAGGCTAGCTTCCGCACGCATTGACGTGCTAGGCGTGCTTTACATCAAGCATCCACATTATATGCCGCTGCTATCACGGCTGGACACGGGTGTGATGTAGAGCAGTTGCTGACACATGAGCAGATCCAACGCAGGCTAGTCTAGGAGAAGATGCGATCGCTGCATGTATCCCCTCTTCACACGGGTGACAAGACGTACTGACCATGCATGTCTGTGTCCAGGTAGTTGGTGATCTCCTCGAGTCGCTGGGCGTTTGGCCCTTCACGAGCGAGCTTGGATGGACGAGTGCGCAGTTTGACCATCTCATGCAAGAGGTTCGCGGCGAGCTCCGGAACGTGGAGCTGAAGCTGTATATTGAAATGTACAGGGCCATGTGATGCCCCGACAAGCACAAGGGTCTGACAGTGTTCTAGATATATCGGAAGAGGGCGCAAGAGCACCGGATGATGAGATGCGGCATGGTGGCATGGCGAAGAGGGGTCCGGCCCAGGGCGGGTCCTGCATAGGCCACGAGCTGGAAGCCGGCTCTGGGGTGGCGTCGGAATCGGGAAGCGGCGATGGGGATGGATGGGTGACGACGGGGTGCAGCGAGCTTTGTAGCTGTCAACAAGCCAGATTCCATCTACCGTGACTCTCCCCGCTGGTGCATGGCCAATTTGTATACATACAGACATGAACAGAGACGAGCACAATTGACACAGCAGCAGCCTGGGAATTCGGCTCAGGCGCGGGGCGGCATTGTGCGCCGACGGTGGGCGAAGTGCATGGGGATTGATACCGGGCTTCCGCAGGTAGAGGGGCAGCAAACGAGAGCAGAGAAGGGGGCGAGGGCAGCCACGGGTGAAGGAGACAGAGATAGGGATGGGGCTGGGGCTGGGGCTGGCAAGGCCTTGGAGGAGGAGGAGGAGGAGGAGGAGGAGGAGTTTGTGCAGCAGGAGGAGAGAAAGAAGCTCCGGGACGCTAGGTAGAGGCAGCAAACACTGGGCAGACGGGGTGAGGAAGGAGCCGCGAGCAGCAACCACCTACGTCAACCGCGTGAACAAAGCGCATCTTTGTCCTGAAGGCATGCACATGCATGGGGGGTATGACATGACATGGATGGGCCACGCATCTGCCCATCAGCTGGGTCCGGGGGCTGATTGGCACTGCTGGCCTCTCACAAGCCTCTGGTTCCGGCAGCGTGGTAGCGCAAAAAGCGTCTGATGGAGGGGGGGACAGGCCTTGCTGGACGGTGGATGCCCTTGCGGCGCAGCAACACAGCAAATGGCCGTGTGGCCCGAGGCGGTGGTGGTGCTGGTGCTGGTGCTGGTGATGGCGGCGAGGGCGCTGCTCGCTGCTGGGGCGCTGGGCGCTGGGCGAGGCGCCCTGCTGCTTGCCTGGCCTGCCTGCATGGGCGGTGCGTGGTGGTGTTGGCCGCCCGTCGACGCAAGATGGCACCCTCGACTGCCAGGCACCGCATCGCGTATCGACGTTGGACTATCGCCTGGCCCGGCCGGATGCGGCTAGCCCGCGCGCGCACCACCGGGGAAGCGGGCGCCCTCGACCACGACGAAAAAAACCCACGACGCCCACCAACAGCACCGCGCCCACGCTGCCGCTTCGCTGCCGCCTCCGGCCCATCCTCCATCCTGTGCCCTCTGTCCTCGCTGCGACTCATGCATCCATTCACTCGTGCCTGATGCTGCCTGGTCCTCCGCGCCCAGCAACCCTCTGCGGAACCCGCCCCCAAACACTGCGAGTCGGCACCGTCACGTGCGCCAGCCGCCGCCGTCATCTGCATCCATTCGGCCCGCCAGGCAATACATCCGCTAAGCACGCTGTAATATGCATTGTCGCGCCCCCTCAAGCATGCTCAAGCTTTCCTCCTGCCAACACCACAAGCCAACACTCGCGCTCATGGCATACATTACAGTACTGAGGCCGCCCGCGCTCGCCCCCACCGCCCGGCTTGCCCATTCCGATTCAAGATCGCCGTGCTTCATCTCGGCCAATGGCGACACAACGGCACTCGACGACATTGCCCTCCCGCCCAGGGCACGCACGACGTCGTCAGATCCCTCATCCTGATCCTCCTCACGGCAGACCCCCCGCGGCTATCAAGCCTCCCTCGGCAATCGCATGGGCAACCGCACATAGACGCGATCCTATCGTCTCGAGCGCTTCCACCTCCGCTTCCTGCCGTGCAAACCATTTAGCCTGATGCCGACCTGCCCGCTCCCGCAAAGCGTATAGCGCCCGTAACCAGCCTCATTTCCCACGGCGAGCGTGCCCCTCGTACCCCCCTAACGCCCCCGCACATCGCCTTTGCTCCGACACCATGCGGATGAACTCGACCTCGCGGTGGGGAAATGCTGCTAGTGTTTTGCAAATGACGCGCTATTTGCGCGTCCTGCCCGCTATAAGTACCTGTCAGTCGCGCGGTGCAGCCACGACAAACCACTGCCAAGCTTCACCATGGTACCGTCTCTGTGGTCTGCCCCGGCTCTTTTCGCCGGCCTGGCAATTGCCAGTGCATGCCGTCCGGCCTTTGGCGACGCAAAGTTCAAGACCATCGTGACGTTTGGTGACAGCTACACGGATGAAAATCGCCTAGGCTACTTCATATCCAACAAAGGCGCCGCTCCGCCTGCTGGTTGGCAGCAGCCTGTGGTAAGTTGGCGAGATCGAGCCACTACAACACGTTCTGAACAGAATCTAGGGCTTGGCCACGGCCTCTGGTGGCCGATCTTGGGCTCGCTATGCCAGCTACTACTCCAACGCCACCCTCTACAACTATGCCGTCTCCGGAGCTGTATGCTCAAACAAAGTCACTCCGCGCTACTTCTCGGCCATTAACGCATCATTCCCCGATATTGCTGGCTATGAGGTTCCTGCCTACCTCGCCGACGCCAACTATGTCAGTCCCAACGGCACCAAGTTCTTCACCGGCAAGCCGTCCAACACCGTCTACGCCATCTGGATCGGCACAAACGACCTTGGCAACGGCGCCTTTTTGACCGACAGCCAGCTCCCAGGCAAGACGGTCGCAGACTACACCGACTGTGTCTACGACCAGATTACCCGTCTCTACGAGCACGGCGCCCGCTACTTTGTCCTCATGAACCTTGCGCCTCTCGCTCTGCTCCCGCAATACCAGGCACCCGACCAGGACGGCCTGCAATCCACACAGTACTTCCCCGATGCCCCTGGCAAAAACCTGTCCCAAGTCCACGGCCGCATGCAAAACACCGTTGCCGCGCTGAACCAGCAGTACCAGTTCCGCACGCCCTACCTCTCCATGACCAAGACGTGGAAACATGCCACCGTCGTCAACTTCGACGTCAACGCTCTCATGACAGACATGTACCGTCATCCTGCCACCTACTTCAATGGAACCGCCCCGCCAAACGTCAAGGGCGTCGTCCATCTGTGCAACGAGCAGGGCAAGAATTGCACCACCGCCTCCAGCCCAGACAGCTACATGTGGTATGATCCGCTGCATCCTAGTGAGCAAACAAGCCGTATCGTAGCAAGAGAATTCGTCAGCGTGCTCAATGGAAAGAGCAAGTGGGCTTCTTGCTAGACCTGTTGTTACAATAGGGACTTGGGGGAAAAAAAGATTCAAATCAGTGACCGGAAATTGCGTCTTGCAACAAATATGTATACTTACAGCATATATAGTTACTCGCGCCTCGGTATGGTATCCAACAATGTTAATCTTAATGCGAGAATGTACATGCTTACATGACCGTCGTACGTCTATCCAACACGCCTTTTTTTTTTTAGAAAAAAAAATTTCGCAATGTATGCTATACGCCCATGCATGCATGCAAAATATCAATTGAAAAAAAAATAATAGAAATAACCCCCAACACCCATCTCATGAACCCAAGAATAACAACAACAAGCCTAAATACTGCGACACCACCTCTCAAGCCCCTTATCCCCACCCTTGATCCCCCTAAGTACCTCTCCCACCTCCTCAAGCGCCACATCACAGCGCACCATTCCAAAGGGCCCAACCTGGCCGGCTACAACAGGCACACACAAGCCCAGCTCAACTAGCGCCTCCCACTCACGGCGCGCCACATCTTTACCCCAGACCTTGCTCGCGCCACTACTACTACTAAGGCCGCCTGCCGCCGACTGGATGCGCGCGCGCGACGCAAGCGTCACGTACTCGTCATACGCCATGTTGAAGTTGCAGGCGTCGGAGTCGTGAATGATGTCGAGGCGAGCAGCGGCGATAAGCAGGGATAACGCGAGTGTGGAGAGCGCGGGGAGCAGTGCGAGTTTGCAGTCTGGGGCGCGGAGCAGAGTGCTGGGCTGGAAGGGCGAGGTGGGTGCGAGAGTGGATGTCGGCACCAGGAATGAGGTTAGGACCTGTGGGATGGACTTTGTGAGGTAGCAGCATTGGGGGCAGTTTCTTGGATCCCACCGAGCCAAGTCCGTTCAACAAGCCAACCTCGGCGCAGAAGAAGAAGGTTGCGCCGTCTTTCATCTACAGCAATGTCGCTCCTGGCCGCGAATTGGATTTAATCAAGACTATTGTTATGGAGCGCATTACTGGCAAGCGCCCTTCGCCTCTGGTCGGCTTGGACGAGGAATACAAATCAGTACACCAAGTCATTGAGCACACAATTACTGCTGGCGAAGGCAATTCAATGCTGGTGATTGGCGCTCGGGGCAGTGGAAAGACGGCGCTTGTAAACAAGGTGCTATCTGAAGTTGCCAAAGACAATGGCGGACAATACCATGTCGTTCGACTCAATGGCTTTATACATACCGACGACAAGATTGCGCTCCGAGAGATCTGGCGCCAGCTCGGCAAGGAAATGGAAATCGAAGAAGACGGCAGTGGCCCTGGAAAAAACTACGCCGATACCCTCGCCACACTGCTTGCTCTGCTCTCGCACCCGTCCGAACAGACGGGCGAAGTGACAGACCAAGTCGCAAAAGCAGTCATCTTCATCATGGACGAATTCGACCTATTTGCCCACCATCCCCGACAAACGCTGCTGTACAATCTCTTTGACATTGCTCAGTCGCGGAAAGCCCCGATTGCAGTGCTGGGCCTGACGACACGCATCGACGTAACCAACAGTCTCGAGAAGCGCGTCAAGAGCCGTTTCAGCCATCGATACGTCCATGTTAAACTCGCAACCACATTCACCGCGTTCCAGAATATATGCAAGGCTTGTCTGACACTGGAGCCCGAGCACCTCAGCGTTGAAGAACGAGGCATCCTCGAAGGCGGAGCTAAAACAACAACAACAACAACTACTACTACTACTACTCCAGCAAGCAAAAGCCAAACCAGCGTCCTCACCGAATGGAACACCACAATCTCCGTACGTAACCTCTCCCCTCCCATCCACCCATCCACAACCCCCACAGCTAACCCCCCCCCCTCACTAGAACCTCTTCGCAACCCCCGCCTTCCTAACCCACACCCTAGCCCCCACCTTTCTCCGTCCGCCTCGCCATCCTCCTTGTGTCCATTGGCCTGCTCCTCTGTATCTGATGCCTCTTCATTGTGATTTGAAATATGATCAGTCCGGTTCATACGCCGTGCTGCGCTCGCGGGTAGTTTTCTGCCACTGGCTGGAGATGCGCCGCTGGGATCATCCTCACTCTCAGCAGTGCTTGCCTTGTTGCTTGTAGGCCTACGTCGCTTCGATGTTGTTGCTGGAGCCTTTGTCCCGTCTTCACCAGATATCTTTGGAGCAGCCTTCTTGCGCGTGCTGGCCGCCGACTTGCGAGTGGGTGGCGGCTTCGGAGGTGTTGTCGCCTTGTTGAAATTTTGCAACTCATCCGTTTCTTCGTCCTCTTCGGGAATCGGACTGGGCTCTCTCTTCTTCCTTGCGGCATTCGATCGAGGGGCTGTGGGTTTGCGTGCGGTACTAGTTCGTGACCGTGCAGCTGGGCGTGGTTTTGATGTAGAATCACCTTTTTCTCCATTCTCAGTATCCACCGACCCATTCGCCCCGGCTATAGTAGCATCGCGGGCTGCGGCTTCTGCTTTGGTAGGCCGGCCTCTTTTGCGTTTGGGTAGAGTTGTGGACTGTACAGCATCCGCATTTCCAGCACTCGCCGTGTCTGCCTTGCGCGCATCCTGTGGTTGTTTCCGAGCTACCCTCGACGGTATTTCCATGTCGAATGCGCCCTCAAAGTCATCGTAAACGTCCACATTATCTGCCGGTGTTGGCTTCGCGCTCTTGGTCGCTCGGGGCTTGCGTGCTGTCGCCGGTTTCGCTTGGATATCTGGGGTTTCGGTGTCATCTGAATTACGAACGGCTGGCTTTTTCTGCCTGCTGGGGGTTTTTCTTGTCGCTGGTTTTGTCAATGGGGTGGACTTGGTGCTGTTCGGCGCATCAAGCTTTCTCCGCTTAGTGGATCGTGGAGAGTCGCCCATTGGTGCAAAATATGATATTCGGTTATATCGAGAGAAGCGCTGTTCGGATTTGGCTACTGAACATAGACCATAGCAGTCGTGGTGGGAGGAAGGTTTCTGCTTGGCAAACAGTGGTAAAGTTGGTGCTGGTCCAGGCGCGTCGGTCTCCAGGGCGCGACGCGCTGCACTTCCGCCGTCCCCCTGCCGGTGCCAAGAGCCACTAGCCTAAACAAGGAGCGGCCCCACCCGACCGCCGTAGGAGCGCGCCCTACAATTGATTCGCACGCTAACGTCTTCTCATCACCACCGCTGACCTCAACAGACATACTCGGCGACAAATATTTAAGAATCGACCCGCCATGTTTCTGATTCAATATTCCAGCAACTATACACACAATGGTTTCAAGTCAGAGTGCATTGACATCGACACAGCATGACGCTTCACCAACCTTGGCTGACGTCGAGCTGCTACAGCCTCATGGCGATGATGCTCCCCGCAGTGAGATGGCATTCTCTCTACCACCTACAGACGGGGGCAAGGACGCATGGCTGTGCCTATTTGGTTGTTTCATGCTCGAAGCAATGATCTGGGGATTTCCTTCCTGCTATGGCGTCTTCCAGGACTACTATGCCACCAGTGACCAATTTGCTGGTCAGAGTAACATTGCTGTCGTCGGTACTTGTGCAATGGTACGTCACTAGAAGCTTCCAAGCACATTCAGCCTTACTAACGTTACAGGGCCTCATGTACATGGACATCACGCTCTGGTTCGCTGTTCTAAAATACTTTCCAAAGTTCCGCCGCTATGCAACGCCAGTTGGGCTGGTTGTCGTTTGCCTTGCTTTGGGCCTCGGATCCTTGTCTACCAACGTCACCCATTTAATCATCACGCAGGGCATTCTTTATGCATTGGGTGGCGGTTTGGCATGGACCCCTATCCTGTTCAATATCGAAGAGTGGTGGGTTCGTCGACGTGGATTCGCATACGGAGCGACCATGGCTGGTCTGGGTCTCAGTGGCGCTGTTCTTCCTCTGATCCTCGAATGGCTCCTGCACTCTTATGGCTTTCGAACTACACTCAGGGTCTGCGCTCTAAGCTTTGTGGCGCTCAACTTCCCGATTGTCCTCTTCTTCAAGCCGCGTCTTCCGCTGTCACAGACTTCACAGTCCAGGGGTTTCGACTTGTCTTTCTGGACTTGCTCAAACTACCTGATATTGCAGGCCGGCAACATTGTCCAGAGCCTCGGCTTTTTCCTGCCAGGCATTTATCTTCCCACCTTTGCTCGCTCCATTGGCGCAAGTACTGTCCAAAGCACCATCACCATCATCCTCGTCAATGCCGCTGCATTCATTGGGTGTTTGTGTATGGGGGCGGCAACTGACAAGTACCATGTGACGACTTGTCTGCTGGTTTCTGCGCTCGGTTCCACTGTTGGCATCTTTTTAATTTGGGGCTTCTCTACGTCTCTGGCCCCCTTGTACATCTTCTGCCTCATTTATGGGGCTTTCGCTGGATGCCAGTCGAGCGCCTGGAGCGCCATAGTCGCTGACACACAGAAGAAACGCAAAGGCGCAGACTCTGGCTTCGCATGGGCTTGCCTATCGGCTGGAAAGGGAGTGGGCAACTTGTGTAGCGGTCCACTGTCAGAAGCTTTGCTTCACGCTGGTAATTGGAGAGCAGGATTTGCTTATGGTAGCGGCTACGGAGCGCTGATCGCTTTTACCGGCGTGACTGCACTACTAAGCGGATGGGGATATGCGGCCAGGAGAATTGGATGGATATGAGACATTCGCTATTACGGTCGAATACAACAGTTGCCACGATGACCAATGCCCACTGAGCCGTCGTTGAAGATCGAGGACGGATGCCAGCCAAGTCCGAAAAATGTCATGCGATAGGCAATCAAAGAGTCGGCCTGTAACAGACGTTACATGGTGGTTGACTGGTAGCACCAATAAGCCCATGGCGGGCTGGGCTTGGACTAAGCTTGGCATGCAAACGCGTACGCCTGAAACAGGACCCACCACCACCCTTCATGCACACGTCCTCATTCCGTACCCGGTAGAGGGTCCTTCCGCGCTTCTTTGCGAAACTACCGATTTACGATCACAATCTATCTGCGGCCCGGGTCAGCCTCGTATCCCCATACGCGTGTCAAGCAGGGACCATGACATCCAGAAAGCCCGCCTCACGCTCCACTCCGCACGGAAAGCTTCCATTGGCCGTAGATGCTGAAACCCGTAGTGGGATCGGCATCCGTTAAACAAACATATTATTCGAACCGTTCTGGCCAAACTGCATTCATCGTTAGCTTGCATGAGGGACCCCAGCTTTTGCGGCTGCACCTACGCAATATTTTGATTGATCTCTATCAACATCTGGCAGGTTACAGTGGGGATATGCACCAAAAACTTCAAACATCTGGCCATGCGCGGACTTGGCATTTCCCGGCCTTTGGGATCCACCCGCTGTTACTCGTTTCTCGAAACGTCCAGAACATTGAGTATATATATCCTAAGGGTTCGTTGTGTAGAAGGTAGTCCACCAACCAGTCCATTCAGACAGTTGCCTGACACACTTTCTGTTGCAAAGATTTTCTTTGCTTCTCTCTTCCCTTCGTCCTTCACTTGATATCCTAGCGATACCGTACATTCTCTTTGGCTGTGCCAGTCTCTTCTTCTGAAACTGTCGCACTCGTCGCTCCATTGCTTGCAACCCTCGACGTCGACACTTCCCATTCTTCATTCACATTCTCCCGCAATCATGAGGTCCGCTGTCATCCTAGCTCTCGCGAGCACCTCTATTGCTCTGCCCTTTGGCAATGGCGCCAATTCCCTGTTTGACGGCAAGGAAGAACGACAAGCTCCTCCACAAGGAGGCATGCCTGGCCTCCCAGGCGGTGGTGGCCAGGGCGGAGGCATGGGCTTCCCAAAGCCTTCAGGAACTGGCCCAATGCCGCCTCTTTCCACTGGTGGCATGCCTGGTGGGTTCCCCCTTCCGTCCTCAAACGAAGAAAATGGTGCTAAGGAGCGTGTGAGTGTATGTGTATATGTGAACAAGAAGAAGAGTAATATATGAAGAAAGAAGAAAAATGTGTCCAAAAAAGAACTCCTTTCACCCCCCCCCCCGAAAAAATGTCCCCTTTGGTTGTGGCACCGCAGTTTCTGAATGTATGTTTGAGTGCGCGTGTGTGTGTATGTGTGGTCAATCTTGTTTCCGGATAGTTTGTTGGGTTGATGCAGCAAGAACAGTTAGTTACTGGTGGTGGCTTTTTAGGACGGAAAGACGATGGTGGATGAGGAGGAGGGGCTTAGTAGCTGCCTTCAGTCTTCGAGCCACTGTTGCCGTTGCCAAACAGGCTGCTGAGCCACTGGAAGAAGCCGCCGCCCTGTCTGTCGTCGGAGCTGTTGTCCTGGCCACCTTCGCTGCCGCCACCAGGAGCACCGCCACCGGGCATCTGGAAGCCGCCCGTGGGCATGGCGAAACCGCCGGTGCCGGTGGGAGGGGCGACGCCAGGAGCACCGCCTTCGGGCTGGGTTGGGCTGGGGCTGGCGAGCGAGAACTCAGGGAGAGAAGGGGTGCCGGAGTCTTGCCTCTTGTCGGCAAGGCCGTAGTTGATGGCGAGACGCTTTTCGCGGGGCGCGGCGACAGCGGGCATGGCAGCACCAGGCATGCCGCCAGCGGGAGAACCACCTTGAGGAGAACCTCCAGGCATACCTCCACCAGGCATACCGCCGCCAGGCATACCGCCACCGCCTTGCATACCACCACCAGGCATGCCACCGCCAGGCATTCCACCTTGAGAACCACCTTGAGAGCCACCGCCAGGCATACCACCACCGGGCATACCACCACCGGGCATACCGCCACCAGGCATGCCACCGCCAGGCATGCCACCGCCAGGCATTCCAGTAGGCATGGCAGCGCCAGGCACTCCGCCAGGCATGCCACCACCGGGGGAACCTCCTTGAGGAGAACCACCACCAAAAGAACCGCCTGGAGAACTACCTCCTGGAGCGCCGCCTGGCGAGCCGCCACCGAAAGCGCCACCTGGAGAACCGCCTGAAGCGCCACCGGGAGAACCGCCTGAAGCGCCACCGGGAGAACCGCCTGAAGCGCCACCGGGAGAACCGCCTGAAGCGCCACCGGGAGAACCGCCTGAAGCGCCACCGGGAGAACCGCCTGAAGCACCGTCTGGAGAACCGCCAGCCATGCCACCACCAGGAGAACCGCCAGTAGGAGAGCCACCACCAGGAGAGCCACCACCTGGAGCACCACCACCAGGCATACCACCACCGGGCATGCCGATGTAGATACCTCTTAGCTCAATTTGAACTTGTACTACTACTACTACTACAAATATTGAAGTGTTTTCTGCATTCTGAATCATCATTGCTGCATAATGAACGAGAAGTGAAATGCTAACGACAATCAATCCACTGTCATGTTTTGGACACAGCCAAGAACATAGATGGTGCTTCTGTGTATTCGGTGGTTTAGTTTGTATTTCTTCCTTCGATGTTGATTGCGTGACTTTGTATCAGAGATGAAGATATCTTCTTTCTTACTGTTGTTACACAACATGACGAGTACGAGAGTATTATCGAAAGTCAAAAACATCTTGTTCCATGACTGATTTCAAATGCTGACGCGGCGGGTATGAGAAACGTTGGAGAGTACACATCAGAATATAGAACTGAGATCATATACCCCAGTCGTGTCCCTTGTACATAATAACTAGGTCAAGGTAATCGCCCAATGTATCTAACAGCCAAACTGTGATGTCATGCATAACAAGGAGAGCCTGATCAACGATATGCTGATGATAATTTGGCATTCCTGGCTATATAAGACTGCATCTGTTCTAACATGCAATCGAAACTACCAAATCTACTACAAAGATTTATCTATGGAAAAAAAAGAGTGGAGTGACAATTTGACTGCCGCCGTTGAGGGGAGCGAGTCGGGTATCTCATAAGTCACTTTTCCGTCTTTGTATATCCTCCGCTACACCTATGCTTTTTGAAACTTTTAAGGTTCCCGCACCTCGATCTTTCGTCATGGTCGTCGGGTTGAAGGGACGCCTCCCAGATGCTTGTGTGCCTGCGTATATGTATAGCGGATACGAGCTTTTGCCTGTATAAGAAATAGATGATGTAAACCAAGATGCGCCAAATGGACGAAAGTACCCGAAGAATTGCGCTTGTTGAAGTGCAAGCGTACTGTTGAAAGTAGAACGCCGTCATGTGTTGTTGAACACCGAACCATGGAGCCGAAGAATACCCACAAATAGTGCCAAGAATAATGTAATCTTGCTGGGTTGAATGCAGTAAGATTGGAAACCGTCGAGCGATTTTGCGCGATCAGTTGGAGACAACAATGTCCCTCATGCCATTGGTCACTTCTACCGCAGCTGCTTTGGCGGTCTCGATAAGAGTTGGCTTCTCCTCTTTGCGAGGAACAGTCTGCTCACCGTTGGTCCCGTTAGTGTGACTTGTGCCATTAGTTTCACCGCCATTTGCGTTAGGAAGGTCAGCAGATGGGACGTGTAGTGGCTTGTCCATGTCCTTGACCTCTAGGCCATCGAAAATGGGGAAGATGCCACGAGTAGCGTGGAAATCGTTGTGCACTACATGATGAGTCAGTAAGAGGCCAGTGGCTATGCAAAATCATATACTTACCAATGTTGAGCAGGTACCACGTGTCTATAACATCCTGGATGACATAGCGTGATGGGCTGACACCTGCATGGCAGTTTGCCCATTGCTGGCCAAGCCGGTAAAACTCATCCTTCCAGGCGAGGAAACTGACTGTTTCGACAATCGTGGGTTGCACAATCTCCTTACCCGGGAACACACCCCACGTAACAGCGTTTGGACCCTCATTGGGAGCGTTGGTTTTGAGGTCGCCGTCCTTGTTCACGGCGTAGTAGGTGAACTCAGGGTCGCGCTCGAGACGTGTAATGACCTCAGCGATGTACGCTGGTGAGACAAAGACCTCAAGGTACGCCTTTTGGTAGACATAACCGTTGCGTGGGCCCCAGCCAAATACAGGGTCTGATGACTTGATACCGTTGACGGCAGGCTGGGAGTTGATGGTCAGGAAACCGCGTCGGTTCAGGTCGATGAGATCCTTCTGAATAGACGACGCTTCCATGGTAATGGCCTGCTCACTCCAGGGCAGTGACTCGATTTTCCCCTCCATGTAGCGCACAAACAGATTGGAAAGGTCTCGGATGGAGAGTGGAGTGCCCCATAGCTTGATGTTCTGCTCATTGGTGCCCTTGAGACCGATACCATACGAGTCCAACTCGCCGAAAGCAGGAGAGCGGGAATCACCCCAGCGGCCGTTGGGGAATTCGTCCCAGTCTTGAGTGCGTGCAATGTAAGACCGGTTGCGGTTGCGCCAGAAGATGGGGCGCACGTTCTCGTCGCGTCGGTTGAGCGCCAGGGAGGGTCGCCAAGGCAGGGGCTTCTCTAGTGGCGATTCAACGTCTGGCAGGAGCTCGAGTTCTTCGAGAACCATGCGCGTGGCTTGAGCGAGGTTCATCGTGTAGCTGTATCAGAGTAAGTAAACGTTCCCCACTACAGACAAGGGAAGAAAAACGTACAAGTGCAGATGGGTAATACCGGCTTCAATGAGCCTCCGACACATGTCAGCCACCAAGGTTTTGCCAACTTCTCGGACTTCGACGTCGTCGTTCTTAATGGGCTCGAGGGCCTCTTCCCAGTGCTTGGGAATGTGACATCTTGTCCATTGCGCTCTCCGGAGAAAGGCGGCATGGGTGTGGATGGGCATGATGCCGGGAATGATGGGAACGTCGATGCCTTTTGCGCGGACCTTTCTGACCCACTCGAGGAAAATGTCCGTGTCATAGAACATTTGCGTTACGACGAAGGTAGCTCCGGCGTCAACTTTTTCCTTGAGGTGGTCGATGAGCTCGTCGACATTGTCGTTGTCATCGCAGCCTTCCGAGTATCCGGCCACGCCAATGTCGAAGTGGTTTCCGTATTTCTCCTTGATGTAGACGACAAGGTCCTTTGCATAGCGGAAGCCGCCAGCGGTAGCCTCCCACTTCTCCCTCTCACGCGGCGGGTCTCCCCTCAGAGCTAGGATGTTTGTGCAGCCGGCCTGGTACGCCTCCTTGAGGGCATCGTCGAGCTTGGACTTTTCCATATCGGTACAGGTAAGGTGCATGCAGGTTTCGAGGCCGTACACGGACTGGGCGACCTTGACCATTTCGCAGGTCAGCTTGGAGTGGCGGCCGCCGGCGCCCCAGGTGAGGTCGATGAATTGGGGACCGAAGCTATGCATGCGGTCCATGCGGTCATAGAGGTTTTGAACACCCTGGATGTGAAGTCAGCGCATGTTCCGCAGAAGACCGTCAGGGCATGGCGTACCTGGGCTGTCTTGGGGGGGAAGAATTCGAAGGAGAAGGTCGGCTTCCCCTCGCGCTTCGCCTGAGCGAGTTTCTGTGAGATGTGCATGATGAGGTGCTATGGGGGGAAATGAAGAGGAAGGAAGGAGGAAGGAAGAAGAACGAGGGAACTAAAGTCAGTCCTAAGCAGCGTTAGCTTGCAGCAAACAATCTGGATAAGACGCACCCCGCGATGGGCTCACGGCAGCATGTGCAAGGATTGGTGGTGCGTACAGGTACGGCGGGTTAGAGAAGACCCCACGTATCTATCCAAAGTATCGTTTGCGGGCCCAGCGATCAGCGAGTGTCCGCGACATGTACCACTGTGCTCGGAGTGTCAGTCAGACAGGCAGGTAGAAAGGCAGAAGGCGGACGAGTTAGTAGTTAGCAGTCAGTAGTTAATGAAGCGTGATGCGCAGTTTTCTCCATTGGCGGAGCGATGGAGGGAAACGAGGTTAGCGCCAGCCGACTGACGGTGAGCCGGAGTTGCAATCGGAGCTCAGGTGGACGCGAGGGCCATCTTCGGCGACACGCAACACGCAACACCATGGCTGGCACAACTCAGCGAGCGCAAAATGCACCGCAAGCACAGGAACTGGAAAACCGGGCAGCGCAGGTCGCCGGGATGATTATAATGCACCGGGGCATGTGGTGGTGGTGAGGATGCCCCACACGCGGGCTGACAAGAGACTGGCAATGTCCCACATGCCACCCACCCATCCTCCCTGCTCCCGTCCAGTGTTCCTCGACGCGGTCTCCCCGGAGTTTCCCTATGCGGCAACCCCGGATCATCGTGATGGTCGTCATTCTCGTCCAGCCGTCCATGGCAGAATGGCATAATAATAGTGGAACAGTGGAACGACCAGACGGCCTGGTGGCGCCTGCGCTTTTGCTTCTTCGCTCCTGCCTTCGTGCCCGCCTCGCTCCTTCCCTCTCTGCCCCTCGCGCCTTCCTGCTGCCCCTCCGCTCCTTCCACACGCCCACGCCCACGCCCACGCCCGCGCCGCCATGCCTCCCATCGCCCGCCCCCGCCGCATCGTGGGCGTCTCGCTCAAAATGTACTTTGACCTGCCCAGCACCCTCTCCTACGTCCGCGGCGTCCTGCAGCTCGACAGCGATGCCTGGAACGCGCGCACCGATCTCTTCGTCATCCCCGACTTCGTCTCGCTGACCGAATCGGCTCGCATCCTCGAATCCTCGTCCGTCATGCTCGGCGCCCAGGACACGTTTTGGGAAGACAAGGGCGCCTACACGGGAGAAGTCAGTCCCCTTGTCTTGAGGCAGGCTGGCGCTCGGATCGTGGAAATCGGCCACGCAGAGCGGAGAGCCATATTTGGGGAGACCGACGACACGGTCGCGAAGAAGGCAGGCGCTGCTGCGAGAAATGGCCTCATCCCGCTCGTCTGCATTGGCGAGAAGACGCACCACAGCATCGCATCGGCAGCCGTCGGCGCAGCGATTCAGGAATGCACGCCGCAAGTCACGTCGGTGCTGGCGGCCGTGCCAGACGACTCCGAAGTCATTCTGGCCTATGAGCCCGTGTGGGCTATCGGCGCCACGGAGCCTGCCGACCCTGACCATGTTGTAATGGTAACAAAAGAGCTGAGGAAGCTATCTGCCGGCCGAAAAGGTACCACAAGAATCGTCTACGGTGGAAGCGCCGGCCCGGGTACCTTTGCCAGAATTGCCGATGGCGTCGATGGCCTCTTCTTGGGCCGCTTCGCACACGACATTCACAATCTGAAGAAGGTCATAGAAGAAGTGGGCGGCGCTTGATTCTTTTGACCAAAGACAAAACAACAACAAAAACAAGAAACACCCCGTCTTGCCTACATGCGTTCAATTATTCCAACAATGAGCATGCTGAAACACTGGGCTGGGCGCAAGCCATCAGCGGAGTAATTCAAAGGGACTAAAGCGATTACTTATTATCGCCCCATGATTACGCAGTTGCTTGTGGCCCCACGTACCGGCGCGGTATATGATGAGAGCTCGCTGCATTTTGAACTGCATCATGATGGTATGTGTGAGGTCCCCTCTCTACGATTATTGCTCCGCCATGTCGCGCTACATTTTGAGCGCCTACTCGACCAGCAGAAGCTCGCTACACCGCACATACTTGGCACCTGAAGTTTTGAATGACACCCACATATCAAACAGGAGCGACTGCTATCTACGAAGCTCTTGGCTTCAGCCGATTTTCGATTGTGTATGGGCTTGAGATGCTCTTGAGAACTGCCAAGGTCACAATCCCCAAACCCCTGAGACCTCATGGCCATTGCCTTCCAATCAAGCAACAGGAAAGAACATGCCTCTGTGATTGGAGGCGCGTCGACGTCGACGCCGAGCTGGCACTCATAATTCTACCGACGTCCGGTCAACGCATCTAGGCATGAAATCCACCCAGAACTCCACGAACAGCCAGTCCCAAGTTTTCGTTACTCAATGTACAACCATCACGGTCGCGACTCCACTGTACTTCCTCGAGCTCATTCGCATCCGGATATCTTGTTTCCATGCCTTGCATATGCAGAGGTGATGAGAGGGGTGTGCGACTTGCGCGACTGTACATCAGCTCGTCGGGAACATGGAGACTTGTGCAGCATTGATAAGTCCTGCCGGAGCTGCGTCTGTATTCTCACTCTACACCGCTCAAGACGCGAGTCAACCTTTTGTCCACGGAAGCACGTCAGAGGGGTTTGAGTCAACACAGTTGCTCTACCCGTCATTCGGGTGTGCGGAAGACGCAGCCTGCGTTTTTGATCACCTGATAGGCCTGCATACCCCTGGACAGCCCTGAGGACCCAGCCACATGCGTTGGTGCGAGGGATGAAAGACGCGTTGGGACATGTGGGCGATCGATCTCAATCAACATCCCCCCAATACACCACGCCACCGTACGACAGCCCCGCGAATTCACACAGAAAACCATCGGCCTGTTTAATAGACGAGTGTATTCGCCCCCGACTACACTCCCTCCCCGGCCCTGCTGTCAAGATGGCCAGTTGCTTTTCCATGGTCAGCTGAATCGGGTTAGATGATTACGAAGGCGGAATGCATCCGCCACACCCGTTAGGACACCTTCCGACGGCTTGCCGGACGAGCGCAGGCTACCTGCCCGCCATGCCTTCTATTGGCAGCCGTAATCACGCCAACATGGCTTGATGCCATACACCCCTCAGCGGTGGGACGCGGGTGTAAGGATCACTGCTTTGGGCGTACATACGAAACGCTCACGCTACGAACTTACTAGCCCAAACATCGTGTCATTTCGCCGGACGACGCCGGAGTGCTCTCAGCCTTGACAAGCAAAATTCGGACCGGCATCTAACGGTGAGATGACTTGCGACCTGGATTCGCTCGTGTGAATGGATTGTTCGATTCCATACCACAGCACCAGAGGCACATGACCTGGCTTTCCCAATCGTCGCAGCAGGAATTGCACAGGAGACGCCCAGAGAAGGATCGGGGTCACTGTGCAAGGCATGATGTGGAGACAAGGTGGTTGCAACATCCATCTGGATCTAGCGATTCTCGCATGTTTCCCCGCAAAGGCAGCCCTGTTAGTGCCGGTCCGACGATCGTTCGGCTCCAGACCCCAGGCTCCACACACCCACTCCCAGCATAAGCGTGCCTTTCCTCCGCTCGAGCCGTCAGAACATCCCTATTGCTCAGAGCCGTTGATCCTTCACTGCTCTTTACTTGTTCGGGTCATGACCGTGTCATGATCTCCATTGAGTAAAATTGCCATTGTGGCGGTACGGAGGCCGAGGTCTTCGCAACGCGGAGTGAATGTGGGTGCACAAACCAGACATTCCAATGAACACATGGAATACTACTTGGACGTGGGCAGAAAACGCTTTTTACGTGCTCACCACGAGGCGGGTGTCTCTGTCAAATTGCATTGTGCGTTGGGATGGCGCCCTGAGTCGGGAATAAATACGCTCCGCGTGAATGCTCATGACGCCCCCGCTGCATTCTCCAGGGTTGTTTAGTCAAGCCAGCCACGTTTGCAGATACGAAACACCTCCTCATGTCCTGGACGAATCATGGGCTGGGCGCTTACCCTGCTCGAGCTTGGACAGGTGTGCCCTCCCGCCAATTCCATCATGTAGCATGTCAAACGCGGAGCCGCAGCGGTGAATCGCTGGATTACTGCTGCGCCAGGCTGTCCAGACCGCGCCGTGTGCATACATGTGCGGGATCATCTGCCTTTGTCCGCAGCTATACCTACTTGGATTTGGACTTTGAATCTGTGCTCCGGGGGGCGTCTAGGACTTTGATACTACTGGCTTGTCTTTGTCCATACCTTTGGCGCTCTATATCAACCATCTCCCCCGACCTGTTAGTCCGGGACCCCGAGTGCCAATCTCCGGTAGCCACAACCACATCAAGTACCCTAGTCTCAAGCTTGATTCTACAAGAAAGGGGCTACTTGATAACCACACAGGATGGATTCAGAGCAGAAGCACATTCATGCAGCAAATGGCGGCCACCCCAGTCCAACAACAGTAGTACACGACGCAGAGACATTGTCGGCTGGCTCAACAGCAAGGAACGGGTCAACAACAAAAATCTTGGAAACTCACAGTGGATTGGAAAAGGACTTTTCACGGCCAGATGGTGAGATGTCGACGGCAGCGTTCAATTCAGTCGTGGGCTAACATGATGTAGGTTACGGCAATGGATTCCCTGGGCACCACACCCTAGATGCCTCGGTTGACTCCAACACGGCGCTTCATCACATCCGGACAGCAGGCAGCATCTCCATCTCCCCAGAGCTATTTGAGAAACTGTACCTCGCGCCTGAAAGCAAAGTGAAGGGCGAATTGCGAAAGACGTTTGGTAACCCTACGCCACTGTAGGTTGTCTTGTTGCATCCATCTCTCTTGTTCCTGGTCGCTGATGTGAGCAGTGCTATCATTGGGTTCTTGCTGTGCCTCCATCCACTGAGTATGACTCTCATGGGATGGAGAGGCGCTGGAGGCGGCGGTGCAGCAAACATTGGGTGGTACTACTTTGCTGGCGGCCTTTTGATGACGCTGGGCGGCCTTGGTGAAGTATGCGCAAGTGCTTTGCTTTGTCGGAAACGTTTCTGACCATCAGTAGTGGATCCTAGGGAACACCTTTCCCTTTGTCGTCTTCTGCTCATTCGGCGCTTATTGGCTGGGCTTTGCTGCTACCCTGCAGCCTTTTTACAATGCGTATGGGGCCTACAAAAATCCCTCTGTCCAAACCAGCACGGGCCTCGAGTCAGCTGGCTTCAACGTCGGTATTGGTATGTCGTCAATCACAGCACAAGACTTGTGCACTTCTAACTGCTGCTACAGGCTACATGCTCATCATGATGGGCATACTGTGCCTCGTCTTCCTCGTATGCTCTATTCGTACAAATTTGGTCTTCTTCCTCATCTTCTTCACCCTAGTACCGGCGTTTGGTCTCTTGGCCGGTAGCTATATGTATATCGCCCAGGGCAGACTTTCTCTTGCCTCAAAGCTTGCAGAAGCCGGTGGAGCATTTTGCTTTGTTGCCTGCCTCTGCGGATGGTACATCTTCTTTGCCATTATGCTGGCCAGCGTTGACTTCCCATTTGACCTGCCTAGTAAGTTTACCGTGAGGCAATTCACTCCTGATTGCACTGGCTAATTGAATACAGTCGTGGACCTGTCCAGCGTAGTCAAGGGAGCCAGCGATAAACGCAAGGTCGAGCACGTCGACTGAGTATCGCGTGATTTTCGATTTATCAAATCGAGGTTCGGGGTGCGATTTACCGGGTTGCTGGAGATCTAGGGGTTGGTTGCAAGATGGCAAATATATGAAACATAGGCAATGTGCATCACGCGTAGAGAGGTCGTGGGACGCGGCAACCGCAGGAACAAGACGTTCCTTAATTTCGGTAGCATCTGTAATTCTCAATCAATACTTCTATGCTGTGCTGTCAAGGACAAAGCAGTGATTCTTTCTAGTCGCATTTATATTTTTGACAGGTTACTAGGGCATTTAGTGTGGTTGTGCGCTGCCATATAAATTGACCCTTCATAAGCGCCGTGCCTCATCGTGGCTACTAGGCCCTTAAAGCCGAGCAGGTGACAGGAGATCTGAAACACAAAATTCGCAAGGGCATGATGCCACGGCCTTGATTTAGATATTAAGCCGGGTCGCATGAACAACCTTGTAACAGCAGTGACATATCTGACACTCATCGATGGTTTTGCCGTTCCGCCTGGCCGTTGTCTAGCAAACGTGTGGTGCGTGCGCCTATACAAGTACTTAACGATATACCACCACCAAGCCGGTACAAAAGTTCGCAAATTCCACACATTCGCTATCCGTTACGACGTCATTGAAGATGATTTACCCGGTGGAAGTAGAATACGTACAGCACACACGGCACAACGACGCCACCACAGGCTATCCGCGGAGACAAACCAGTACATCATCAAGCCAATCGTCACGGTCCTCATCCTCGTCATCACCCAACTTCTCGCGCCCATACATCCACCAGCCAACGACGACGACGACAACGACAACGACGATCAAGAAAGCAAATCTACTCAAAAGCCTGCCGCTTGCAAATACCGCACCGATCCTGCATCAAACCATCATCGTCACGTCCAAGTCACATTCGAGTCGGAAGACGCCCGGCCAGCCCTCACGAAGCAAAACCAAACGCCCCGCAAAAATGGCTACGTACTTTCTCACAGGCGCAAACCGCGGCATTGGTCTCGAGTTTGTAAGACAACTTGCCGCCAAACCCACCAACACCATCATCGCCGGCGTGCGCTCCAAGTCGGCGGATCTCAGCGACCTGCACGCCCTCAACACGCACAACAACGTGCACATTGTCGAGTGCGACGTGTCGTCGCTCGAGTCGCTCGCCGGAATCGAGTTTCGCGTTGCCGAGATCCTCAGCAAGACAGGCAGTAACCTGGATTTTCTGTTCAATGTCGCGGGCATCAATGCGACGAGCAGCGATACGAGCCTCACGCTGGACCCCAAGAGCATCAGCGCACACATGCAGACTAACGTCGTGGGGCCCGCGAAAATCGTGCAGAGCCTTAAACGCTATCTGGCGCGCAATGCTACCGTGCTGAACATGACGTCGGGCCTGGGCAGTCTCGCCGTCGCCACAGACATGACAAAGTGCTGCTCATACAGCATGTCCAAGGCCGCGCTGAACATGCTGACGGTGCACCAAAGCAAGGATCTAAAGGGCAACGGAGTAAAAGTCATTTGCATGGATCCCGGGTGGGTCAAGACACGGATGGGGGGTGAGGGTGCGTTGATCGAGGCTCAGCGCAGTGTCAAGAAGATGCTGCGTGTGGTCGAGGGCTTGAAGGAGGCCGATAGCGGCAAGTTTTACCGATATGATGGCGAGATTGTGCCGTGGTGAGTTGGATACTTCGCTGGATCGAACTTGGGATTGTGGATTGTCAATTGTGAATATGTGATATGGGTGTGGGTGTGTGGGCATTGTGAATAGCTGGAAGCCGGTATATAGGCGTGTGTGTATCGCTCGATGCGGTAAAGACAATATATCAAGTATAACAGAGAGATAGTTGAGGATTAATCCTGGATTTTGTGCTGTGGATTGATACTCGTAATGTTTGTGGTCGTTGCCTGGCTTAGGTTGATATCTGCATGTCTGATATACGAGTTGTTGCTATTTTTATCTGTCGCACTCCTATAGTGCACATGCTATGTGCAAGGCCATTTTCGCTTTTTACCAAGTCATCGCTTGGACGTGTCTTTGGAGTTATTACTAATGATATCAGAAACGTTTACACAGCTGGTAAACCGAAACTGAATACCATAGGAACAACCGTGAGGCTCATTATCTCCAGAACATGGAATTTCCAAAATCTGAAAGTCTGTGTTGCTCTGATATTAGCTAATATCCTTCACGCTTTTGTGGTTGACCCAGCTCTCTCTTGCCTACTACTGCTACTATACTGTTTTTAATCATCTCTCCTGTCTACCAGTAGTGATTAGAAGATCAAGTCTCGATAGATGTATATTAACAATGTTCCAGGTCTCAACCAACATTACTGCCATGAATATCTCGCACTGTTTCACTACCAGTAGTAAGACATTTTCCACCCACACTGCCCGACCATTCACTCCCACGAACTAGTCAGCCACCGATTCACTCTACCCACCCACCCCTCTTTTAAATACTCCCCTCCTTATTCTCCCTGCTTTTACTGTTTACTTCCAAACAGGCACAACCACCACGACCCAGCCCGCACAATGTCCGCTTTCAATCTTAATACCGCGAGTTCTGCCCTCCACGAACGAAACATACCGCCACTCTCCAGCCTCTGCAACACGACGACCACACACGACTACAACTCCTCACTCTCCTTCTGCACGCCCACATCTCTCGCCTTCGCCAAGCGCCTAACGTGGGAACAAACGCCGTGGATCCCCGTGTCTGGACCCTACAAACCCGTCAATCCCATCAGCGCCGCAGACGCAGACTTGATATCGCAGCATCTCGCCTCGCACACGGGACGTAAAGTATCCGCAGAAGCTGTCCAGCGCGCCTTGTTATTCGGAAGCACGTATCCCAGCCACCAGCACGACACCGATACTCCGACTCCGACTCCGACATCCACGACCACCACCGGTAGCAATGGCGGTCACACCGGTACCCTACCCACCGCAGCCCTAGGACACTATCCCCACCTCTTCATCATCTTCCCGTCCGCACGCACCTCGCCCTCCACTGACGAACAGTTCCTGCGCATCTGGCACGACGACATCGTCAAGCCCGCGTTCGACGCCGCATGGCGCCACAGCACTGCCACGCACGTGTACGGGGCGCATGCCAATTCCGCCTACGGCATGCTACCCCCCACAGCACTGTCCACAGCACACGACGCACAGCCCGCATCAGGCTTCCTGCAGCGCCTGCGGAACAAGCGTGTAGAGTGCATACGCACGTACTGGCCATGCTGGACCGACACTGTGTTTCCCACGGGAACAGAAGGCCGGTTCTCGGGGCTCCGAGCAGACATTTACGCCGAGGCGTGGGACGCCATGTTGGGTATGCTGAAGGAGCATCCGCAGCTCGCTGCGGCGGGGTACCAGGATCCGGTTTTGCTGGCCGTGGCGAGGGGAACAGTGCATGTGAATGAGCGGTTCAATGCGGGGGATCGTGTTAGGGCTGTGGCGCAGGAGTGGGATGGGTTTGTGGATGCGCGGTTTGTGGCGCCGGCTAGTTTTAGGGTGGTTTTTGAGGTTGTGGCGGGCGTGGAGGACGGGGTGGTGGTGGTGGGTGGGATGGGGATGGGGATGGGAATGGGGGGAATGGGAGTGAAGAACAAGGAGGAGAATAAGAATAAAAAGAGAAGTGCTGAAGATGAACAAGACAAACACACAAGCAAGCGAGTTAAAACATGAGGCATTCATTCAAGTAACCACACGAGTATTCTTTCTTGGTACATACATATATTTTCAAACCAAGACAGCTGGGAAAATGATGTAAGTGGGACTTTGTTTTTTTTTCTTCTTTTTCTAATTGACAAACTACAGCCACACCACGGGCACAGCTAACTACATTCTTCTTTTTGCTTCTCGTAGATAGCTATATAATCGCAAAACCAGCTAGACAACACGATGCCATATCAAAAAGATGCACAACACAACACAACACAACACAACACAACACAACACAACACAACACAGACAAGACTTGCTCACGTGCTCGTAACACGCCTCAAGCGCTCCACACAAAGCACCACTCCAACGACAGTCAGACCGACCAACACAAACAAGTATCAAAAAAAAACCCCAAGAAAGGCAAAGGAAGAGATTAAACGGAAGGGAAGAAACCGAATTGTTGAAAAAAAAACACCCCCCCCCCTTTCATTCATTCCACACCAGCGTGAAAAAAAATGGAGAAGGAGTAGGAGGAGGAGTTCAAAAAGGTCGAGTCCTATACCAAAAAAAATGAAACGCCCAAACAATGCATGAAAAAGAAACACCACCCCATCCCCACCGTCTGTTCCATACGGAAAAAAACCTAGGGGTTCCTCACGTCCAGTATCATGTCCAGTATCACGTCCAGTACCACGCTAAGTACCCCATCTCGCACACCACACCACACCACTCCTAATTGCAACACGCAATACGCAGCCGCTACCCCGCTCCCGGCCTCCTAAAAGGATGAGCCTCAGTATTAAACACCCAGTCATCCAGACTAATCATATCGGGGGTACTAAAGACGAGGTAAAAATACTTGAGTGTCTCCGCGGTCCAGAAAGATTCCATTTTATCCTCTATATTGTTGTTGCGGGTATACGGGGTGCTGGCAACGCCATAGTAGTCGTCTTCTTCTTGTTGTTTGGCGCGGCGGGAGGAAGAGGAAGAGGACGAGGTAGAGTCTTGTGCTGAAAAAGTGACGTCGCGGACCTGGCCGTTTGCAAAGCGCGTTTGCGTTGCGGCGACGATGCTGTTGAACATGTTCCAGGCGTCGGTCAGATACTGGCGGTCGCCGGTGATGCGGTACATGATGAAGACGGATTCAATGGCTTCGGGGCGGAGCAGGTAGCGCTTGTCGCGGACGTTTGTGATGCCGAGCGGGATGTGGTATTTTTTGATGGCGATATCCACATCGCCGACGTACTTGCTTGCGTAGTGGTTCATGACGCCTTCTTCCCATGTAGTCTGGTTCCAGGGACATGATGTGCGCGACTCGCAGGGCACCATGTCGAAGGTTTCGGGCATGATGCCAGTCGGGGTAGCTGCATACGCGTATACACATCCTTTGGTGAGTTTTGCGCCCAGGTCCACGTCGCTTGGGTTGGAGAAGAGGCGGCCGGCCAGACCAAACATACCGCCGATGAAGCATGTGAGATGCTGCATAGTCGGGGTGAGATTGATGTCTCCGGCGTAAGCAGAGACCTCGCCGCACAGCAACAGGTTCTCGCCGTGTGCCGCGTCAGGCACCATGGGCCGGAAAAGCATGTGCTCGTCAATCTTCTTTGCCGAGAGGCGGTACATTTTCTCGTAGATTGGCTCCACGCCGCCGAGCAGCGCATGCATCTTGGGAAGATACTCGTACGTGCTATCGGCCAGCGCACCGATGGAAAAGGAGCTGGACTGATCAAACTCCTCTTTCGCGGCATTGACCATGGTCGGCCAAAGACCAGGCAGCCTTGTCGTCTCTTGACCACGGTCCATGAGCAGACTGACTCTGGCTACGGCATCGTAGTACTTTGGCTCCGACGTGATCTGCGCAAGGCGCGTAAACTCCATGGTCAGCGAGCCGAGGCAGGCAAAGCATATATTGGTCTCGGCATAAAAGGCATCTCTGCCCGGCGTCTTTGCCTTTTCCACATCCATCCAGCCCAGCGGCGTGTTGTTTGTCGTGTCGAACGCACGATAGAGCATTTCACCCAGCTGCACTGCCTTTTCCAGCAAGATTGGCTTGGCGCTCATATCGTATGCGCTCAACAGTCCCCCCAGGTATCTAATTGTTGTTTCAAAGACGCTGACACTGCTGAGATTTGTCCTGCCGAAATCGATTGATGCGACCGCCTCGACCGCTTCGTCGAACTCGTCGCGAAAGCCCATGATCCACAGCGTGTCGAGCGAATCGACCAAGGTAGCGCCCCAGCCGCCAAACGACTCCTCGCCCGCCGCCGACACAGGCTTGAGCTCATCTTTTGCCCACGCATACGTCCGGTAACTGTCCCAGCTGCGCTTGAACGTGTTGCGCACAGCAACCCTCCGCGCCTCTCTCTGGCTCCGCTGTGAAGCCGACTCGGGAAAGTGCGTAGCCTGCACACGGGGAAGCTGGCGGGGTTTGCTCGTGGGCAGCGGAATGTACGAAGTGATTGGGTTGGCAAAGGGGGCCTTTGTCCAATCGTACGACTGCTTGGATTTGAGGCCGGCCAGGCTGAGCCCTTGGCGCATATACTCCTCGTGGTCCTTAAAAGGCACGGCGAGCGGGTCGGTGGGCTCGCCGAAGAACCTGTAGCACGCGCCAAACAAGAGAGCCGAAAGCAGTGCGTAGAGCAGGAAGCGCTTGTGTTGCCGCGACATGGGCTGCTGGTAGGGCACGCCGCGGGACACCTTGATTCTACGCATAGTGAGCGGGGTGCTGAGACTCGGAGTCTCTCATTGAATATACAATGGGAGAAGATGGTGAGTGACGGGCGCGGAGCCAACACGGCCACGGTGCTGGGCCGAAGAAAGAGCACGAGGGAAGATACAGAGCTAGGAGATGATGCGGCGGGAAAAGGAGTGTGAGGTGCACAGGAGCTGGCCCGACGGGTGTGTTGTTATGCGACAGCCATGGTGGAGCAAACGTCGGCGCTTTAGGACACCTCGCAAGTGAGAGACGAGGTGAGGGACGTGACCCTGGTGCCAAGGCAGCGTCCATTGCCGATCAAGCGGAAGCTACAGGTCAGAGTCCGTCCGGCCATGGTAGCGCAAGCACCAGCAGTCACTGTGGCTCGTGCAGCTGGGAATATATATCAGGGTGCGTTACTTACAACTAGGGATGTTCTATTACGGTAAGCGAGCCCGAAATCGTTGTAATCACGGTAATTACGGTATCGTAACAGTTACCATATAAAAATGGGTGTTGTAATTACATTGTAACAAGCTAACGCATTTGGTACTAGAAGTCGTTTTGCAGCAGGCTCGCCACCACCAGGCTCGTCACCAGGCTCGTCACCACCAGGCTCGTCGCCACCAGGCTCGTCACCACCAGGCTCGCTCGTTACCACCAGGCTCGTCACCACTAGGTTTTTGGTGGGTGGAGTGTTACGGAAAAGATAGCTATATGGACTGACAGGCCACGTCGCCAAACCACCAAAAACTGGGCAAAAACGGGTCTGTGCGCGACTTCGGAGGTCCGGAGGATAAACCTCCGGTAAGCGAGATTTTCGAGGGCTGTAATTACGGTAATTACCAATACCGTACCAGTTACGGTACCAGTTACAGACCATCCCTACTTACAACACTTGATTGAGGCGCATGCACAAGTGCGCCTCTCCCAGTCAGTTGCCCGGGGCCGCGCTAGACACGCGCCCCCTGCGGATTGGCTCGCCAGTGCCTTGATGTGCCGCCGCCCGCAACGCCCCACTAATACACGGCACTGCGAACCATTCCATGCCCCATGGAGCTGTAATGCTGCCGCCGTTATTATATATATACGAGGCCCTGGTTTCTCCGTCGGCCTAGCAGTGCAGCGTCTGATCGAATACCATTAGTCGCTCCATCGGTTCGTCTTACATACAGTACAGTACACAGCTAGTCGCCCAAAAGACCCAGAAGCCCAACACCATGCCGTTTTTCTCTAAACCTCATGCGGTCTTCATCCAGGAACGCCAGCTTATTGTACAGTGGGCAGCAGTGTGCCCGTAGAGTGGTGAGGGGATGCGCCAACATCGACCGTATAGATGCAAATAATGCCGAACGCGAGAAAAAAAAAGAACATGGCCACGACAAGTATTGCAACAAATCGACTGCACACCATGACGGGCATATGTAGCTCAAGAGATAGCCGTCTTCTACATTAGTCCGATTTCGGGTCCGGCTCGAAGAAGACTCGGCGTGTTATCTGGGACCTCGGTGTTAGCGCATATTCTGCCCTCACTGACGCTGCTTCGACTTACCGCCCAGCTTCCAGCTACTGTGGCGCAGATTCCCGAGCTAATGGCCATTTGCCTTGTCCCTCTTGTGCTCTTGAAGAGGGCACCGCTCAGGGCGCCCGCCACTATGCTGTTGCTCATCTCGTGCTTTCCCCGGTAGTAGCCAATGGTGCTGTTGATTCCGTTGTACACCATGGCAATCACGCCCGCGCTGTTGCCCAGAAAAGGGCCTCTCCGCGTTATCGCGTTGAGCACGCCGTTGAGCCGCAACCGCGGTGGCATGCTAGGCGGGTTCTTCTGAAGTCCCTCGGCAAGTCCCCATGCGCCACCAATCGTCAGCGCCGACAGATAACATACTCCGGTGCCATAGCACAAGTCGTCTGACCAGCCGCGCGAAGGCAGGGCGGATTGTGCGCCAGGAAGATCGGATGGGAGTTGGTCTTCAAGCGAGAGGTAGTCGAGAGTGCCTTGGTTGAGCCCGGCGAGCGGATGCAGTTGTGAGGGGTCGAGGAGGAACTCGGAGGGATTTTGGATTGCCGTAGTCGGGTCGAAGGGTGTGGGCTGGAAGGTATCTTCTTTTACAAAGTCGCTATTCTGCGGCGCTGCCGGTGCCGTCTCCTTGGACTTGCGCCCTGTTAATGTGTCCCAGCTGGCATGGGATGTTAGCACAACTGGAATTGAGGGCCCACATGCCCAAGCGGAAACACATACATGGCCATGTTGGATATGTCAGGCTGTGACTGCGGCGTAGAGAACTAGCAAAAAAAAAGGCTGCGCCGGATGGCTGGGAACGGGCCCCAGACTCGCACAAGACTGCAATGGAAAATCACAGAAGAGGAAAAGGAGATTCGTGATGCAGGGCGGAGATGCGCAGGCAACGGCGGCGGGGGGGGCTGGGGGGTGCGTCGGCGGTGATGTCGCGAAAACTTCTGGCGAGCACCATTGCACAGTGACGAAGGGCAAAAACGCACGGGCCCCCATCATTCTCGAAGGGTCGCTTGCTTCCGAGCTCGGAAAGGAAAAATATCTAACGCCCACCCACCTCGGAACGCAACCCCTCCAGTGACGACAACCCCCCAGACAGCCAACAAACTTCACCATGTCGCTCCCGGACTTCAAGCAGAACTTCCTGAGCGACTGCGTGTCGGCGGGCGCACTCAAATTCGGCACTTTCACGCTCAAGTCGAAGCGCATATCGCCCTACTTCTTCAATGCGGGGCTGTTCCACAGGGCCGACCTGCTGCGCTCGATATCTTCGGCCTACGCGCACACGCTGAAGGCGCACGGCGACGCAGACGCCTCGTTTGAATGGGAAGTCCTCTTTGGCCCCGCCTACAAAGGCATCCCGCTTGCAGCTGCGTCCGTGGATAAACTCGCCGACCTGGATCTTGCCAAGTACGGGCAAAAGAGCTACAGCTTCAACCGCAAAGAGGCAAAGGACCATGGCGAGGGCGGAAACATTGTCGGTGCCAGCCTCAAAGGCAAGAAGATTGTCATTGTCGACGACGTCATTACAGCGGGCACGGCCATCCGCGAGGCCATTGACATCATCAAGAGGGAGGGCGGAGAGTTGGTCGGAATCATTGTCGCCTTTGACAGGCAAGAAAAGACTCCCACTCCAAACGACGACGACGGCAAGCCTGGCCCAAGCGCAATTGGCGAGGTGAGGAAGCAGTACGGTATCCCCGTGCTTGCTATCCTCACACTGGACGACGTCGTCGAATATCTCCGAAGTCTGGGCGGAGAGGAGGATTTGAAGAAACTGGACGAATACCGGGCCAAATACAAGGCCAGTGACTAGGACGGGATTCCTCTGTAACAAAATTAATGATACCATGATCAACAGGGCTGTGTGCCTATGTCAGAGCGGGCAGGAGGACATTTGCTAGCTCATGGTCGCCTGCTGTATTCAGTCGTATACCTATAGACTTTTCTTTCAAAATGATCCAACACTAGGCTTGTCCTCGCGATTCCCACTCTTCCAGTCACTTGGGTGATGTTTCTCGCACGACCATGGAGACTGCACAGCACATGATATGAGCAAGAGTCATTTGGCAATCCACATTGCACACGTATCAATCGTCTCCTAGCAACACAGAGTCGAGCTGAGGGCTGGGCGGCGTAATATAGAGTCATGGAGACTGGCGTAATACGCGCCATCATTGGATAGGCGTCAGGAGCATCTATCTCATGCAAGCTCATAGAAGATAACCATCGTCAACTCTAAAGACCCCGTGTCTCGGTCCGCAGTCCCATGCCCCGAACGCCCAAATTACACAGCATCTAGTATTCATTGCGAATCACTCAAGCCTTCTTAGCAAACTCGACACGAAGGATAAGATGGCCGAAGCCGACTGCACATTGTTAGCAGAATTCCATGCGTACAAAACACAGCAAAACTTACATCCGTCCATCTTCTCGCACGCCTTGGCGGCATCGGACCTGTCTGCGTAGCTGACAAAAGCAAAGCCCTTGGCACGGCCGGTTTCCCTGTCCTTGGCCAGGAAAACCCTCGTGACATGTCCGTATCTTGAAAACATGTCGCGCAGGTCCTGCTCTTCGGCGAATTCGGAAACGTTGGTAACACGCAGCGTGGCGCTGTCGTCCCGGTCAAACTTGCCGCCCATCTTCTCACCAGCACCACCGCGTCCGCGCAGATGTGGAGGCACGTATCCTCCCGATCCAGCACCGAGTCCTCCTGAGGCTCCAACGCCAGGCGCGTCTTCGGGCATGTCTGCGGGCGCCACGTCGCCCTCGGGAGCCATGGTGTCCTTGAAGGGACATTTTGTCGTGAAATGGTCGCCCTGGCAAATACGACACTTAATCTTTGCGTTCTTGAGCTCCGCCTTCTTCTTCGCCTCGTCACCCTTGTCCTCGGTACTGGCTTTCCAGTTCGACGTTGGCCGGAACACGATATTTTCGGCCACTGACACAGTGTCTGTTTGCGGGCCCGCGGGCTTGCCCTTTTCTGCTCCAAACTTTGCCCATTGCTTTCGCTCGGCGACGCGCGGGTTTACGACTTGCTTGACGACGGTCTTCTTGATGCGGCGGGTCGTCTTGATTTTCTTGCCATCTTCAATACGGTACGAAATGACGGTTTCGGTTCCGTCCTTGTTCTTGATGACTTGGTTGGGTGGGAGGGAGGTTAGAGACTCCTCGTCGTCTTCTTCCGCCCAGTCGGTGCGGCTACACGGGCCTTGTCAGCAGATGGACTTTTTGTCGACAGTTGGGCAAGCGGATAGAAAAGAAGCGACTCCGCGCGCCAGAGCACAGCAACGGCGATTTGCGCATGGGCGTAGAGGCCGAGGGTAGACTCACCCTGCAGGTCGTGACATGTTGGCAGATGTGAATTTGTTGTCCTGTATCGAGTGTCGGTCCTCTGCGGTTGGGCTGTTGTCAGATAGAGAACGGTCAGAAGTGGCGGCCAGTGGGGCAATTCAATGTGTGCGGTGCGCCGCCAAGATTTCGCGCTAATACCATCTGCCGCTCACCCTTCACCCTGCCAAACCTACACTAAGACTGAAAAGTTGAGTGCTGAATCTGCGCGACTCATGTCAATCATGCTTTCAAATTGCTCGTGCGATGACTATTCATAACTTGAACGCTTCTATGAGTTATCAGGCACATCTTTGTGCTGTTTCAAGACATCCGTCACGCATTTAAACTATGCAACATGTCACCTCAACCTTACTGATAGAAAAAAATCAACATTCAACTAGTGCAGTAGTGATAGGAATAACCATGGAACACGGGTATCTCAAACTCAACAAAGGAATCCCGTATGTTGAACTCTAGGGTCAACCAACCAACGACTCGGCCTTGCACTCTTCATCCTTCAGAACCCAGATTCCATTGCACCCTGCTCCGCCCAGCACTTTGAAACTGTCCGAGAGGCAGCGGCTTGGGGTGCTGGATGACATCGCTACTCGTCCTAGGAATCGGCTGCGCGATTGGCTTTGGGGTACTACTAGTCAAGAACGCTGTCTCACTGCTACCCCTGGGCAGATTCGGCTTCTGGATGTGGTGGTGCGAGTGGGGTGCATTGAAATCGTTGATGAATGGAGCTTGAGAAAGCATCTGATGTGTAGGCGGCAGCGATTGCGGTGACTGCAGGGATTGTGGCGTGCCGTGAGCGTGTTCAATGAACAGACTAAGCGTGTGAGTACAAGCACCAGAAGGGGTAGGTTGGGGGATACTCTTACTCCTGTGGTTGGGCACTGCTCCTCCGGCTCGTCTGTACACTGCTTGCCACACTGCCGCTTCCATTGCCTCCTACTGTGCTGCTGGGCGCGCTACCATACATTGCTGCATGTTGGGATTGGGGTGTAGTGGGCAACCATCCGCTACTTGTAATACCCTCAGCATCCATTAGGCGTTGAAGCAAGTCTTCGGTGATGACAAGCAAATGCTCCAGAGCAGCCAAACGCGAACTTTCCTTTGCCGAGCAGCAATGAATATATGATTTACTGGAAGGATTGTGCTCGACGATGCAAGCTCCGATTTTTCTTGAGGAAGTCGGAGCGAAACTTATCACGTCTAGACATCGATTCGGCCCATATATCGCGCGCGCGTTCGCTATAACAAGTCAGTTGTATTTTCAACCAGATGAGAAGGATGTAAAGAACACGCGTACCGAGCACCCTTGTCCGCGTGCTTTCCAACGCGTACTCCGAGTCCTTGTCCTCCATTCGATGCAAGATTTGACTCGCTGTTCGCTCCAATGCCAGACTGTCGTAGCTGCTGCTCTTCCCGTGCTTCATGTCCTTGAAGGCCTCTATCATTACGGTCGGTACGTTCTAACGTGAGCACTCGCCGAAGACTTGATCTTCTGGACCTGGTCGACTGCTCGGATCTCGAAGACGCTGTCGAATCTCCGGTATTTGTACGCCCGATCGGCCCAAACTTGTCAAATGACGCAAGTTCTTTTGCAAAGTTCTTGAACGAAGAAGTCCGGGTAAGGTCCTTTTCAGAGTTTGTGCGACTTATATCCGGTGAGCTTCCCGCTGACCTCGAGCCGTCGAGTTGTCGTGAACTCCTTCGCCTTTCGAGCCGCAGTTGATAAAGGCGCTCTTCGTAGTGTGCAGCTTCCCGGAGACGTTGCTCTTTCCTGGCAATGTGAATGTCGTGAATAGAACCGTGTCTGCCGAGACGGTGTGGGTTCTTGGTATGCCAGGGATTCAGCTGTGGGCCAAGTGCAATTCTTTCAGCAAGTGTTGGCGGTGGCGCGGGCTGAGAATGTCTCCTTGGACGAGTCGAGAGCTGCGAATTGCTGGATGTATACGACTTGAGCGAACTTGTCTTGGGACTGGATCCTGTGGAGTTAGCCCTTACAAGGCCAGGTCGCCCGTATGGAGAATCCAGCGTGTCCACTTCCTAGATGGGATGGAGTTTTAGGTTCCGTCGGTATTCTTCTTGCCAGTATTGTGCTGGCGGACCGTAGGTAGCGCAAGTAAACGGAAACGTTTTGACGACGGTGACACGTACCTATCAATGTATGAGCGACCTATACGTTGCTCTGTTTTGGCATGGGTCGTTGATCGAGGGTAATTGAGACCTACTCAGTATGCAGATGTCAGCAGAGCCTATGGGGCTCGCATACAGGCGTGGCGTCGTGGTTAGCTAAAGTCGCCGCAGGCGAGTGGCAGGCAACAGGCCGCCGTCCTGCAAGATTGACGGTGAAACAGCGTAGCGGCGACAGTAGTCAAAGGATGGGTGATAGAAGAAAAGTGTGTTAGGAGGTACAGCAAAACAATGGGTCGTTCCGAGAGTGCTCAAGTAGGATGTTGTTGAGCATGATGGTGTTTTGAGCAGCGAGCGATGAACCGAGATAAGATGAGCAACAAGAGCATGACGCAACATGTTTTTTGCTCCTCTGGAAAGTGTATACTGCCCATTGCTGCTCAACAGGCTGTAGCAGTCAATATAGGTGGCAGCGACTGTCATGCATTTTCACAATGAAAGGAGCATTGCAGTCTGTCTCACCTACACTTGCAGTGTATCATCGCATGAGCTATTGTATGCCCTTGTTTTCCAGCGATGACCTTTTTGGTAGAAAAGATCTAAGCCTGTAGTGTGCAACAGGCGTTGAAATGAAGCACAGTCGCTTCTCCATGCACGTCACCTGACACCAGCAATCCAGTCGTCACTCTACACTCACTTTTCATTGCACTTGGACAGTCGTGTCAATAAGTAAATTCCATGCTATCTTAGCAGTAAGGGGGAACCCCACTTTGTTCCTCCGGTGGTATCCTAGCCATTCATACACCCATCTTCCATGCAAATGCCAACACACTAACGCTTCAAGTACAATTATGCTCTTTTGATATTTACTCCTCCTCGCCCCAGATATCCTGCCTCCATACTATTCGAATCATAAGTCTACCTACATGGGCGTCTTGGCGACCACATCGCTCTGGGCATGTGCAAGACCCATGCATTTGAACAACAGTAGCGGTACAGTATCCAGCCACTAACCAGAGAATCTAAACCGTGAAGCCTCCAACCTACCGAGGCCCTCGCGGGGGGCGACATTTCTCCGCCGGTAACTAGTAGTAAAGTCCTGTAGAATGGTCCTAATCATCCTAACATCGCCCGTCTGGATGCGCTGACGAATGTTGTTGAGGAAGCGCTCGCTTTCTTGGGGCGTGATGCTACCCTGTGGTAACATGGCCACGGTGCTCGCGACCCACTGTGCAACCTGTTCAGGCATGAGCTCGAAGAGATCCAGAAGCACGCCAGACGAGTCGGCAAAACAGCCCTCGGGGAAGCTGTACATCATGCCCGTCATGATACGCTGGACGAGCTGGACGCCGGATCCCATGACAAGCTGCTTGACACGGTCTCGTATTTGTTCTGGAACTTCGTGACGCGTATTGTCAAACGTGGACGATGGCGACGAGTTGCGACCATAACCGAGGAAATCGCGTAGGAAGTGCAGCACTGCAATGATGGGATCCTCCTTGAGCAGGGTGAGCGAGCTGCAGGCTGCGAGGAGAATCGTGTCCATTAGTGGAGACATGATAGACTCGGATGGGAAGTAGAGCGCCATATCTGCGGCGAGACGGAAGTAATCCTCGATAAGATCAGGGAGTTCTTCTGGCGGCAGGTCGCTAAGTATCCTCAGGAAAGTCTTCGCTTGCTGCTCGTAGAACTTGTACACGTCATTCGCCAGACCTGCATCGACATCGTCCACGCCCTGCGAAAATTCTCGTACTATCGACGCCGTCGCCCAGAGGAAGCATCCCTGCCTGGACTTGTCGAAGCCTTCAATCAGCTTGGTAGCAAGTTCTGGCAGGAGCGGGCGCATGGCTGTCCGGTAGGAGAGGACCATGTATCGCCAGCACCTACATACGCGCTCGAGGATCGGTATGCTTGTATGGAAGTGCGTGATCATGTTAGCAAGGGTTGGGAAGATTTCTTGGCAGTACTTGACGGCCGGGTGCTCTTGGCCAAGCGGCATCTCTGGTCGGACCATCTCGAAGAATATGGTGAGCAAGTTAATCTTATCTGCGATGAGTTTTTGGTCTGGCTCATCCTTTGCTTGCTGCGCAAGAGTGATCAGGTGCGCCATGACAGGATCGAGATATAGCTTGAGTGTCGCAAGAAGCTGATCATTGGGAACCTTGGCAACGACGGATGCCACGCCTTCAGTGATTTCCTCTTGGCTGCTTATGGGTAGCTTGTTCAAGTTCTTTGCGTAAAACTGCTGCAGCGGGCCAACATAGTGAACCAACAGGCTTGCGCAGTCGTTGCAAAAGAACTTGAACGATAGCGCCGCAGCTCGGATGACATCCTTTGTCGAATGATCAAAGGCTGCCATGATGTAGTCCAACTGCATCTGGAGCGTGTCGGGGTGTTGGGCTGTCCATTCTGTATATCTTCCCAGGGCCATGACTGCTTGGAAGCGCAGTTTGTTGTGGTCCGGTATGCCTGCGATGAGCGGGATCAGGCGCGGGAGCATGATGTTCTCGTCTGGAGGGACCATGCGACCCATTGCCCTGACAGCGAACAGAGGCGCTTCCAGTTTCTGCCACTCTGGCACACTGTTGGGTGTAGCCTGAGCGCCGTAGGTTTGCACCCACTGCTGAATAAGGTCGTAGGGCTTTTGGAGACATTCAACAACGCCCATGACCTCGCAACAATCCTTGAGAACATCGCCCATTTGATGGCGGAACTCGCGGAACTTTTCTTCTTGCTCGCGATCGCCCTCGAACAAATCCTTGTCGTCGCCACCACCATCTTCTGGCTTGGGAAACTGAAGGTGGCCAATCATAATATCGACGAGCTTCGAGTAGATATCTAAGCACTGGTTGCGTGCTTCCGTGTATTTCTCCAGTGTCAGGTACTGCTTGAGGTCGTACCAGAACTTGAACGTGTGCGAGATGGCATCCTTCTCCTTGTCCAGCGCGGCTATTGCAAGTATAGCTTCGACCAGGGCGCGGAAATCGGTTGGGAGGCGCGCAATCAGGATGACCCAGGATTCTCCGGCTTCGGCAAATATCCTAGCAATACCCTTGAATTTCTCACTGTCCTCCTCTTGTGCTGCCTCGGCGAGCTTCGTCTGGAGGTTGATGACTTGGGGGTAGAGGACCATTATAGAGTTGAGAGTCTCGTCAACATCTCTCGTCTCTCCAATGAGGGCACTCAGACATTCCACCGCAGCCTCGAAAGGATCTTCTTGCGCGAGACCGTCAACGATAATCTTCAGCAGGGCAGAGTTGATGATGGCGTCGAGTGGAATCTCGCGTATCCAGGAAGTGATGCAGTGGAGTAGTTGGGGATTTTGGGCGGCCGCAGCTGTGGGCTGTCAGTGAGAGCAGACTCAAATGCAAGGCTGTGGACATACGCGACGAAGTGCCATATCGTATGAGGAGTTCCAGGGCTTGCTGGGCGTTGTCGTCAATCAACTCAGCCGTCCTCATGGTCAACTCGTGTTCCTGACCACCACACATTAGACTACAACTCTGCTATCATGTGTCGACACCGCGGGGAATTGCCGTGGGCTGCAAATGGGGCGCGGCTCGGTCGGACATACTGTGAGTGCGATCTTACGTCCATGAGTGACTTCTTCGGGGAGAACGCGGAGAAAGTCGAGGACGCAAGGGAGCGTTGCAGGGTCGGAGCCGAGTGAGTTGACGACATCTTTGAGGACATCCTTCCACTCGGTCATCTGTATGGCCAGATTCGCCAGACACACGCACAATTGCAGGCGGATGGGCTTTGGTCCGGCGTGGAATATGGCCAAGTTTCGCATGATCGAGGCTCGCAGCTCTGCCAGCTGGGCGCGGGGCACTTGATGCAGGTCGTATACAATCTGACGGGCGTGAGCACGAAGCTTGGGGCAGACGGGCACACACCACTCACCTTGCCCTTGAGCGTCGTGGCGGCAAACAGTTTGGCGGCCGCGTCTACAGAGTTAGATTCGAGCATGGCCAGTGTCGCCGTCCAGGCCTCTTCCTGTGTCTCAAGTCAGCCTCATGTGCCCGGGCGGCGACGCACACCCACGTACCGACTTCTGGAACTGCTCCAAAAACTGATGTGCCTGCTCCTTCTGTGCGCGATCCGCCGCGGACGCCATAGTGTTGTGCGCCGCCAGCACAGGGTCGAAGACCTGCTGTCCGTTGGCAGCCATGCTGAGGGTATTTGAGGGGGTAGGTGATGGTGGTGGTGGGGGGGGGGGGCGGATGCGGATACTGCTCGTCGAGAGGCGGCGGGGGGAGGGAGTTATATTGCGCGCATGCACTGGCTCGTGGATGGCGGCGGGCCCGAGGAAGGTGCAAGCGGCGCCGGTGAGGAGACTCTGGTGGTGGTGGTGGCAGCCGGGCGGTGGAGGCTTTGCTTGGAGACGGGCAGTTGCGTCCGGTCGCATAGGCAAGGCAAGGCAAGTCAAAGATCCCCACGTTAGCGCCAAGCACCGTGACCGCCCGGCCGTCGGTCGTCGCGCCAGAAATGTTCCTCGACTGCACCTCACCACCCACCCACCCACCAGCCCAGCGACCCAGCCCCGACCCGACAACCCCCGACAACCCCCGGAGACCAGCAGCTCGCCTTGCACCAACATGACTGGACGTGGAGGTGCGTGTGCCCTGTGTGCCGGCGAGCAGCGCCCATAGCTAACGTGTTGCAGGCCGCGGCGGAGGAAAAGGTACGACAGCTACTCGTGACATGCCCGCGCGGCAATGCTGCTGACTGACGCACCCGCAGTCCTCCTTCCGCCCATCAACTTCATCTTCAAGCTTCTGCAGTCACGGGCGACCATATCAGTGTGGCTGTACGAGAACCTGGGCATGCGCATCGAGGGAAAGCTGAGGGCACGACGGCCGCTTGCTATCTACGAGTACAGTGCTAACAGCCGGGCAGGGCTTCGACGAGTTTATGAACCTCGTCATTGACGACGCCATTGAAGTCACGCTCGCCAAGAAAGACGCGCCCGAGGAGAGGCGCAAGGTCGGCCAGATCCTGCTGAAAGGAGACAACATTTCCCTGATCCAGCAGCTCCAATAGGCGCCGACGCGCGACACGCTGCCTCTACGGTCGTAAAGGTGCACGCAGGAGAGGGCGTGCGGTGCCGGATATTGGGGAGAGAGATGGAGCGAGAGGGCGCCATTTGTCTACAAAAGCTCATGGGAGAAGATCAGGCACGTGCGCGCAGCAGCTCACCGGCGCCCGTGATCAAGGCGTCAAGGCGGAAATCGGAAGAGTCCATGGGAACCGACTCGTTTGGCGGGAGGAGCTGCTCGGTCAAGGCAAGACCAACTTTGACGTGGTCAGTTAGCCCTCCACATACAGAATACCAGTAGTTCTTACCGCGAAAAGGCATGCGCGATGCGTGGTGACAGCGGGCCAAGAAGAAGTCGTAGAAGCCCTTGCCGTGGCCGAGGCGACCAAAGTGCGCGTCAAAGGCCATGCCGGGCATGACGATCAGATCGAGGCCGGCTTTAGCGCCTTGGGTGTCGCCGTTTGTGAGGCCCGTACCGCCAAAGCAGTTTGCGCGTGATGAAATGGACGCTTTGGCGGGCGTGGGAATGCCCCATTTGTCGGGCTGCAACGAGTCCAAGTCGGCCATGGAGTGCAGCTCGACCATGTCCATGATGGACTTTGGCTGGCCTCCGCTGGGCGCGTCCGGGCTGTATGTGTATGGAATGAAGACCTTCTTGCCCTCGTCCAGCGCACTGCGCACAATGTCGGTCGTGGAGATCTCGCCGCCAGGCATGGACAGGTAGACACTAATCCGGCGCGCAGCCTGGTACTCGGGCATGGCCAGCAGAGTAGCCGTCGCACTGGTCGCTGGACGGCATCAGATGAGCGGTATGCAACACGGACAAGACGTGACGTGACGTACTCTGCGAGGCGGCCGCCGCCTCGGGCAGTTCCTTGAGCAGTGCCTTGATCTTTTGTCTCAATTCCTTCTTGACCGCAGCCAGGGACCCCGCCATGGTGTCGCTTGATAGCCAACGGTATGGCGTTGCAGAAGCTGCGCCGTTGCGCCGCAGTGCCGGCTGGGGGACGGCAACTCGAGACAGCGGGCTGGAAATGCTGAACTGCAGCACACAATCGAGCAGTAGTGTCGGCTCGGGGAATGCAGAAGCAGTGCAAGCGCAGTGGTGAGAATGTCCGGCGGCGGGTGCGGCCATGATTATCGGCCTTGCCCATGGCGCGCCGATGATCTGCACGTAGCCGCGCTATCCTTGTCCATTTGTCCCAGGTCCCAAGCCAGGAGGTGCGGCGACGCTCAACAGGCGCAACGCTCCAGACTCTCTCTCTCCGACACCCACCGCCGTCCTGCCCGCCCATATACACCCTCCCACGCTCGCTTTCGCCCCGACCGGCCGCCCACACTCGTTCACCACCATCGCCATCCGCCAAAATGATGTCACGGATAGCCGCGCTGCTCCTCTCAGGAGTCGCCATGATGCATGCGCACGCCCAGACGACGCCAGCCGACCTCGTGGGCACTTGGACGAGCAAAGCGAACTCGACCATGACCGGACCCGTATGTAGCTATACACATGTTGTTGTGCACCTAGGCGAGGCGAGGCTAATTGCTGACAGGGCTTCTACGATCCCGTCGCGGACAGACTGATTGAGCCGAAGCACACGGGCATCAGCTACTCCTTCACAGCCGACGGCCACTATGAAGAGGCCTACTATCGCGCCATCGCAAACCGTACGTGGCCTACTCGCACGATGGCGACTCGCGACCGCAAAGCAGCGTGCTAACAACGCAAACAGCCCAAGACCCCAGTTGTCCCCAGGGCATTATGCAATGGCAGCACGGCACATACGAGAAACTCGCCAACGGCTCTCTAGTGCTCACCCCCATTAAGGTTGACGGCCGCCAACTCTATTCGGACCCATGTTCGTACAAGACGGCCGTGTACACGCGCTACAACGCTTCCGAGCTGTTCAAGGTATGCCATCTCCTTTGTTACCATGCATTAGCATCTGCACAACAAACGTAGACACTGACGTCAATGCAGAGCTATGAATACGTTGCATCCGACGCCTACGCCAAGATACCGCGCATCACACTATACAAATTCGACGGCGCTCCCATGATGCCCTTGTACCTCGCCATGTCCAAGCCCGAGATGCTCCCTACCACCACGCTTAACCCACTTGTCACGCAGACGGCTTCTGCAAAGAACTCGAAGCGTGGCGAACTACCCATGAACCACGAGGTGGTTTTCCAGCGGACCCCCGGTTCCGTGAGGGCTGATCAGTGGTGGTGGTTTGGTGTTTTCCTGACTGCAAGTGGAAGCATGCTTTGGTACTTTTTCTAAGAAAAGAGAACATCTTTGTCGGCTTGTGGGGTAACTACGAAAAGGATCAGGCGCATGCGAGGAGTTTCAGCATCATGACGGAGTTTATACGAGCAGTGTGTTTTTTGTTTATGCCGGGCTGAGATAATAATGACGGTTTGTTTGGTATGCAAATAAGCATGTAGGGTGGTATGGTGGCGTTTTCGGCATGGTATGGTCTGGCAATCAGGTTCTAGTATAGAACATTGTCTTTGGGGGGTTAAAGTTTTTCTTCATATCGAAAATGATTGAATGGGACACCATTCATGTATGATATCATATGCCTTTCTGTAGAACTACACAGCTGGTTATTCTTTCTTTACACAATACTTATATACATATACCTAGCATACATCTAGCCCACACATCCTACAAAACAACTACAATATCACCACATCATGCTATACAAAACCCCCCCCCCAAACCCCCTAAAACTCAAGAAATAACTCTCCTAAACTATCCACCACCTACCACGCACGCACTATCAAAAGCCAAAAAAACACCCCCATCCATCCATCCATCCATCCATCATTAGTCATTTAGTCAGTTAGTTACCCAGCAACATGACTTGTATTATCCCCCCACACACACTAGAATGTACTTAGCTCCGTTAACGTTGCAGCCAGTTAGTCCAAGTCAGTCAATCAGTCCGTCAGATCGGTATTGTCGATCTTTTGTCGCTTACTTTACTTTACTTTACTTACTTCCCAGCACCGCTTTACTTACTACATAGCTACTAGTTCCCTGTCCCTCGATCATGCAACGATCCGTGTGCGCGTCCGTGTGTCTACTTTAGTGTTTGTATTTCCATCTATGCTTGCACTTGAGTTTAGAGTTGACGCATAGGTCTGTGCGTGGGTATGCTTTGTACCAATGCGGATGGGAGTGCGGAGACTGACTAGCGAGATTGGATATCAGCGCGCTTGCGAGAGATAAGGATTTATATAGTATGATGTACATGTACATGTACATGTGGAAGAAAAGAGGGGCATGTATGTGACATTGTGATATAGTTTTTATAGTTTTGTCTGGGGGGGGGGGGTTTCAAGTCGAGGAGGATGGAAAAATAAGTATAGCGGAAATTGACATACTTAATCTATCGCATATTGCAACAAAATTGTAGTTTTGTAGTTTTATTTTGTTTTTCCACTCTAGTTTGGCTTTTTGGGTGTTCCTGCGGGCTGGATATAGGGAGTGGGACTGTATGTAGATGGGAGATGGAGAGTGGAGAGAGGAGATGGGGGAGTATATCGCGGTGGGAGTGGGATAAGTAAGGTAGATAGATAGTTCTATTTGAAATTCTGAGTCTTCTTCTGAGTGGTTTATAAGAGCCTTGACTTTCTCTGTCTCTCTCTCTGTCTATATACACCCAATCGTCCAAGTCCAGCTCTACCTCTCAGTCTTGATCTTAGTCTTAGTCTTGATTTCATTTCTGCACCAACATTACAACTATATTTCTTCCTGATACCCTCACCCATGGATTGCAACACGTTGAATCCCCCCCCCCCCCAAAAAAAGCGGGTTTGGTACTGTGCAAGGCTGCGTTACTTAGTGCGGTGCTGTACATACAAATTCTACCTAGGGCTAGATATAATCCAGGAAGTAAATAAAACAAAACAACGCAACAAACCGTCATGCTTGTTTTCTATCCCTCCCCCCCCCTCCCTCTCTCTCTCTTTTCACTCTCGTCCCTCCCCTCTATCTCTCGCGCGCGCAACTACCCTCCCTCTTTTCCTTTCTTCTTCCCCCGCCCCCTCCCTCCATCCATCCATCCCTCCATCCCTCCATCCCTCCATGCACACCCTCCCTCCTTCCCTTGATTCCCTCCCCTACCAACTATACTTTTTCCAGCACCCCATTCTTTTTCGAATTTCCTTTTTTTCGCCCCCCAATCTAGCGTCTTGCAGCGCGCTTCTCCGCTGCATCTCGCCCGTGTACTATCCACCTCCGCCTCCACCTAATTGCAGATGGGGGCTGAAGGCCAAAGCACGCCAAAGCACGCCAAAGCACGCCAAAGCACGGCTGAGAACCCGATTCGACTGCCCAAATGCCCCGACTGCCCGACCTAGGTGTACAGACCTACACACTAAGTGACCGATCAAAGAAGGCAGGAGGGGGGGGGGAAGGGAAATATGGTGGCGTTTTAGTCGCAGTTTTTCCGTATTGTAAATGGTAAGAAGGTGGCTGGTGGTTGGGGGGCGCGCAACGGGGAATGGGTGAATACATCACTGCTACTGCTACTGCTACTGCTACTTCAGGCAATAGACATGAGCATGAGCATGAGCATAAGCATGAGGAGCCATCTCATCATCATCATCATCATCATCATCATCATCATCATCGCACCATTTCCAGTATTCCACACCGTTTTACCCGCATTCCAGTACTTTTTTCAACGCGCCTTTTTTTCCCCAAGTACTTACCGTGCATGTATGTATGTACGTGGACAGAAAAGAAAATGGGGGAATGAGATGAGATGAGATGTTAAAGCAAGAGTACTAAAGGATAGGAAGAGTATAGATACAGATATAGATACAGATACAAATAGCTGGTATGAAAAAGATAGGGCTGTACTGTACATGTGTTTGGGGTTATATACAGTAGAGTAGAGTAGAGCAGAGTAGAGTAGGGTAGTGCAAATGCCGTACCCAAGTACTGTATTTACAATACGCGATTCACAGTTGATTGTAGATACTACATCTTTCCCTGCTTTCCCTGCTTTCACCTTTCTCATTTCCCTTTCCTCTCTTATAAAAAGTATCCAACATGCAACACAACAAACATGCAAGTTGAGTATCCCTTTTTGTGTGTGTGTGTGTGTGTGTGTGTGTGTGTGTGTTAATTTGCGGCGACTTGGATGATATGGTATGGTGTGGTACTTTGCTGCTTCTTGTATCTCTCCTCTCCTCTCCTCTCTCATCTCTTCTCCTTCTCCTTCTTCTCCACTGTCTTCTCCACTCCTATCATTTCCCTATTCATAAACACATCATAAGTATCATAATCCATGATTCCACATTCCCCATCTACAACCCCACCTTCTCCATCTTCTCCCTAAGATCCTCCTCTGTGCCAAGCAAATTCATCGCCCAAGGCGGTAATTTACTCTTGAAGACAAACCTGCGCTCAGCAGCCGCGCCATCCAGCTCCCAGACTCTATTTGCAAGTCCCGCACTCGCACCAGCACCACCAGCACCACTACTATCCTGACTGGGAAGCGGTTCCTCGGGCGCATCGATATACCCGTCTTCCTCTTTGAGCCGCATGGGCCGCTTAGTTCGGCGAGTGTAGGGCGGACCCCTCTTCATTTCAGCAGCTTTTTCCCACACGGTTTCACAGGCTTTTGCAATCATGCCTGCGTTGGCCCAGCCGGTGCGCTTCTCGACTTGGAGGAGGCGCGTGACGAGCCATTCGCGCTGGCGCGCGTCGTGGTACGTGACGCCTGCGAAGAACATGGACATGGAGGCTTCGGTGAGGACGGCGCCCAGGAAGGGCGAGAGGTCCGACGACACGGGTATCTCGAGGCCGGCGGTGATGCGCCCGATTAGAGTGCAGTAGGGCGCCGTGGCCGACGCGCACACGCCGGCGGCCATTTGCGCGGCGGGAGGCATGGCGGGATGGGAGCGTAGGAGGATGATTTTGGAAAGGTAGAGGAGCGTCCAGAGGATGGAAATGTCGTAGCTGCGGTGACTTATTGCGGGCCCAAACGGCGTCATGTTGCCTGGTGGATACTGCTGGTTTCCAGGTGCTGGGGGGTAGATGTCGTCGGGTAACGGAGCAAAGGCGTCGGTGTGTTCCAAAACGTGTGCCACTGCCGCGTGGGCCTCGCAGATACTTTCCCATTCCGCGACGGCATTCTTGTATGCGACAGCGAGATCGGTTTGTTGTACTCGAGGAGGGTTTTGTGGTGGCGGGCGCTTGTAGTTTGGATTGTCGTAACTGGGTATTTGAGGCGCTGGGGCGGGTGATGGCGCCATGCCATAGAAGTCGGGCATTGTCGGAGGCGCTGGACGAGCTTGAGGTGGTGGACCTCCTGGGCTTGGTCCCTCCCAACCCGGAGGCGGGCCTTGCATATGCTGTGAAGATGAGGGACCGGTAGACTTTGGTGGGCCACCCGGCGGCGGCCCCATGTTGCCGAAACCAGGCATACCAGGGCGAGGTCGCCAGCCGCCATCTACCGCAACCTGTCGAACCTTGCGCGCTCGGTCTTTGACAGTAAAGTCGGCAATGCGGCCCAATAGTAGTAGAAGATGATCGTGGCTGCCATAGAGGGCATCGATGCGGCCGAGGGGTGCTCGTGGAGGACAATCTGCCCACTTGTCGTAGGGGTGTCTGCACTTGTCAGCCTCAAATCAAACAAATCTCGGGACTACTCACAAGAGGTCATTGCCGCTTACAATGCTCTGGAAAACATCGTGCCTAGCAAACGACCAGAACAGGTCCTGAAGCGTTGCATAACTCTGCAAATCAAGACCCCCAGGTAGATTTGGTATTGCATTGTATGCAGTTCCATCGTCGTCGAAAGCCATGCCAAATTCACTGTATTCCACCTTTTTTCCAACAATTTTACTGACAATGGTTTCGTCTGGCATCATTGCACTCTCCTTTAGTCTCTGGTCGAACTGCCTTTGATCGATGAGCATCTCGGGGTTTTGGTAGGGGAACTGCCGCTCCATGGCCGTTTGGACAGCCTGCATTCGTATTGCCTCGCAAGTGAGCGACCGAAAGTTAAGCTCGGTTATCAGCTGCTGGGCCCCGAAGAGATGTGTTCCCCATTTGACGTGCTCGGCCATCCAGACCTCATACCACGCCAGAAGCAAAGAGTTGGCCAGGGTGAGCATGGACAAACGTTTCTTGGGGTTCCCCAGAGAGCGAACCAGCCGTTTGAGCGAATATGCGTAGTGTTTGTAGGATGGGGTAATCGAGGCCTTTTGCAAGCGTGCAATGTGCAGACTTGCAAGCGCCAGCATGGCATGCAACAGGCCCTGGTGGTTCAAGGCTTTCAGAGGCAGTTTGTATGTCCATAGACCTTGCTGTGCTGGCGGCGTCGTGCCTTCGAATATCAGGGTCGAGTTTCTGGGGTTCCGCTCGAAAATCGATAGCGTTGGTGCTGTCTGTCAGAATGTCAGTCGTTTACCGGACTTGATTCGTACCGGGTTACCTAAATGTATCCACTCACCACATGTATATAATGTGCAAAGACTCTAGCAGTCTTTGGGTTACGCAAAGGGCTTGCCGCGTATTCGGGTCTGTAGTGCGACAGCAGTCCATCATACAAGAAGGCGTCATAGCGCCTGATTCCGAGCTCGTTAAAGTTCTCCAAGTGGATACGACGGATCTCGTTAAACTCTCTGCTTGCGAGCAAGGCGTTCTCGTCCTCGTAGGTTTCAGCGTCAATCATATCCTCATCAGAATGCACGTCCCAATAATCGTCGTCTTCGAATTCCACGGCCGCTTCGTCGAGCACCTGTGTAGGACTGACATGATCCTCGCCGCCAAAGCCGCTGAGGAACAATTGTGACTCGGATTCGGGGGGGTTTTGTGTTTCGGTAGACTGATCTACACATCACAAGTCAGCCATGTCATCCATTTTTAGTTGTGACAGCATGACTTGTTTTTGAAATCGTACATCCCCTTACTGGAAGATGAATTTAAGCAGTTGAATACGCACCACACGTATTATGTGATGATGAACGTGCTTGAACACCAAGACAGAAAGAGATTGAGAAGAGAAAAAAAAAAGGTAATAATCATTGGGGTATACGAAGTATTTAACTAAACACGAGACATACCGAGGACAGGTTGTGGCATATACTTTACATCCTGATTCAAGTCATGAGAGGGTAACGGAACGCCAGAATAATTTGGATAACTAAAGTCAGTGTGGGATATCGCTGCGGGAAAATTATATCTTTCAGGTTGTGAAGAGTGCATGGAGACTTGGGGAAGACTATTAAACCGCTGAAAGCCCGGTCTTGCCTCCGCACATTGGGAAAACTGATCGCTCTGGGGGGAAACACTAGGTTGGTGTTGGTAGGTATTATCGGGATCCTGCAGGCTGTCGGATCTATATGCATGGGGGTACACGTGCTGGGCGGACCCGGGCTGGGGGCCGATGGGCTTCAGATCGTGGTCGCTGGGGTAGGGAAGCGAGACGGGCGGGTACGAAGAGCCAGTCGTGTACTGAATTGGGGGTTGACAGCTGGCGCTTGGGCCCTGGCTGAGCTGGTCTGGCGGGTTTGTATGTACTGGAGATTGCTGGGGAAAGTACGACACGGTCGATGGATGGGCGTGTGCTTGGTGGTGGGGAGAAATGAGCGGCTGCTGGTGGGGAGGCGACTGCAGAGGCTGCTGATAGGTCTGTTCGGGTGCGTAGTTGACATTGCCCCCGACAAAGGGTTGTGCTGGCGGGGGAGGCGCGGTGCCTGGGTGCGAGTCGATGGGGCGGAAGCCAAAATTGGTGAGGGGTCGTGGCTGGATCGACGTGAGAGAGGTGTCTGGCATGGAAGCACTTGGCTCTGGTCCTCTGTATGGTTGGTTTCGTGTACCCGGGAGCATCGAAGTGTGGTACTGTATGGTGCTGACTGCGCCTGGGTGGTTTGGCCAGTCTCCGATGGGCGGCTTGAAGATGACTCTTTGGTTGTATCCTTCGCATTGGCGTTTGGACTTGATGCAGTTTGCGCAGGTAGGCCTTTCTTCGCCGCATTTTATGCGTCGCTTTCTGCAGGTGAGGCACCCGGTCTTGGTCCTCTTTCTCATCTTGGGGTTTGGTGCAGCTGCAGTGGTCCCAGGTACGTCGTCTGCACCTCCTGATGACGGGCCTGCCGCCTGGACGTTTGACATGTTAAGAGAAGATGAAGATATCAAGCGGGGGGGAGAGACAAGTCTGCAAGAATGTTTAGCCGGGTTGAGGGTAGAGGCAGGGTGCAGGTCATACCAGGGAGTGGTTGGCGGAGGGGTTTTGCGGAGGGGGGGGGGGGGGAGGCGGGCGCAGCGAAGCTAGAAGTAGCCAAGCTCGCGGAAGAAGCAGTGTGATGGATCAGAGTGTGGTGTGAGTCGACGGCGACGAAGCAGTCAGGGTCTCCAGTTGACTTATAGTGTAAAAGCGAAGCTGTTTTGTTTCAAGTCCAAGAGTCGTGTAGAGGACGAAAAAAGATAGACTGGGCCGGTCTTTGGAACAAGCGGGAACCATGTGGAGTCAGGGCTCTAGAGTTAGTTATAACGAGGTCGGGAGCACGCACCAGGTGCCAGACGCCGCTGGTGTAGATAAAAAAAAGGAGAGTCAGCGGCAAGAGGACAAGAGTGTTTGTACGGAGGGGAGGCAGTCGGCAAGGCGATAGCGTGCCGACAATGGCTACACCAGGCGTTACGGGGCCAAGGGGAGCAATGGATAGTCTAGGCTAGAGAGGGGGGGATGGGCAAGGAACATGGGTGATTGAATCAGGGAGGGCAAATGGCGTCCGACGCCTCAAGAACGGGTGTGGACACGGGCTTTGGGATGTCGAGGAGCAGCAGCAGCAGCAGCAGGGCAAGAAGGCATGTTTCGATTTGGCAGACGTGGTGCGAGGTGTCTTCGGAAGATGGTGCGGCTAGACCGGGGGGGCAGGGAAGGCTTGCGCTCGGACTGTGGAGAGGGCCGGCCGCAGGAAGCAGCGATGGGCGGCGCTGGGAGAGTGTGTGTGGTGCGCTGCGGCGCTTGTGGAGGGGATCAACAGATCTGAGGCCGGGTAGGCTAAGGGGAGGGTTCAGTTGCTGCTATGTCCGGGGGCGAGTTGACTCGTAGCCTGCATGCGTCGCATGAGACAAGGGACGATGCATGGAGCGAGGCGGGCGTTTGGTTGCGAGAGCGTTGGGGGTGGGTGAGTGGGTGAGTGGGTGAATGAGGGCGAGGGCGAGGGCGAGGGCGGGCGAGGGCTGCAGCAGTGAATGCAGCTAGGCTCGTCAGGCCGTGGCCCAAAAAGGCTGAATGGGGATGACTCCACCACCACCCATGGCTTTGCCGAGGATGCTGCTCGCACTCTCCCTCTCCAAAGACCACGACCCGACCCTTTTCTCCCCCACACACCCACTCCCACTCCCACACCCTCCCACACCCTCCCACACCCTCCCACAGCCCTCTCGGCGGACTTTTTTCTTCTGCCGGCAGCACGTCTCAGCGGCGCACAGCTGCAGCGGGCACGAGGGGCGCCATGGTGCAGGGGGGGTGGGACTCGGGACTCGACGACAATAACTGCCTTGCTTCTGTCTCGACACGGCCCAGCCTGACTGCGCAGACCAGACGCAAAAGACAAAGTGTGCAGCAGCAGCAGCAGCAGCAGCAGCACTGCGTGTTAGAGTTTGCACGGGGGAAGGGGGGGTTGGCTGCGCTCTCAGCTCGTCCCAAGTTGTGTGCGCATTCCCTCGCCCCGCGCAGACAGGCAGAGGACATGCTGCAATGGGCACGCACACGCAGACACGGCGGCGTGATTGGCAACGGGCTGGGGGCCACGAGAAAAGTGCCGCCACGGTCCGCTGGATAGATTGTACGTGTAGGGCATTGCAGGGCACTGCTCACGTCCGCAAGAATAGGCCTTGTTGCGCCTGATACTTGGCTCTGCCGCTAGGGGAGCCTCGTCCGCATGCGGCCTAGCGCGGATCGACTGATGGCGTCAACCGCCATCCCGGTCCTTCACGGTGACTTTGACTCTTGCCCTCACTCACCCTCGCCCTCGCCCTCGCCCTCGCCCTCGCCCTGATGCTCATGCTCATGCACACGCTCACGCTCATGCCTTCGCCCGCATGCCCATCCTCTCGGCGCTTGGCGCTTGCATGATTCTGCGCACTCGATTCACAGCGCATGTCCAGTGCTGGTGCCCGTCGCTGGACATCGCCCAGGCAGCACTCGACGACAGCCAAACCCCCCCTCTTGCGTGTGTGGCTGGGCCTAGCAAGCTGAGGCCGGCGTGGCTTGTCCATCCCTTTCTCGCCCTCACTCGCCCTCACTCGCCCTCTCTTTGCCCACTCGTAATGCCCCTCGCCCTCGCCGGCCATCACGTCCATCCAGGGACGCAGTCAAGTCGCAGGTGGGCCCGGCAGGTGGGTGCCAAGCCAGCTCCCACAAGCACCCCATCCACATCCCCCAGCGCTGGACGCCTTTGCTTCCGCGGACCGCAACGACTCAACCACGCATGGTGCCATGCTCGACTGGCACACAGCGCGCCTGAGCCAGTCCGGACGTCGCAGCACCTGCGCAGTTGCTGCTCCAGAGGCGCCCGTCATGGCCCATTGCCAGTGCTGGGGTGGGGCCCTCCCTTTTCGTCTTGGCCGCTCAGCTTTGCAACCCCCAGAATGCGAATACGGCCACTGGAGAGGCGGCAGTCCATCACCAGCCTCTACCATGGGCGCTAATGCAAGACGCTGCATCTTCACACCACCACGTCTCTAGTGCTGCGTCTGCAGGCTAGCTCGAGTCAGCCACAAAGATAATTCTGCCTTGCTTTTCTTCGACAAAGTCAATGCCAGAGCACAGAGAGGTGCTAGTCGCCGTTGGATGATAGGATCATGTATTGGCCCCCTCGGCGCAATCCCGGATCAATCTTTGCAGCTGCTGAGCCGTCGCCGCCGCCGCCCTCGTCGTCGTCGTCGTCGTCGTCGCCCGCTGCGGTCGCTAGGACGGCTGCGGATCTTGTTCCCGGCGCCGATATGCGCTCCTAGGCTGCACGCAGCGCTGTCCTGTGCCCGTCAGTGACGTAGTGCGGCCTCGGTCCCCAGCATGCACGCCCTCTGGAGTGGAGCTGCATTAATTTAGCCAAGTTTATTCCGAACCCGAGATCCTGCACTTCACAATCTACTAGCTGCAAAAGCACCCCAGTGTCCAAGTCGTCGGTAGCCTCCGACCCTGAGCCGTCGTGGTCGCGTGCTGACGAGGTCGACATTCTCCACGACCCGCCTGCTGCTGCAAAACATGCTTCCCCGGCCAACGCCCACTACACACGTTGCGGCACGCTCGACATATGCTCGACAGCCTCTCAAGCAGACATGTTGCCCCATGCGCTTCATGCTGGCCCTGCAGGGGTCAAAGGTTTGTCCAAGTCTTAGCTCCCACGACGCCTCGTGCCCCATACGGCAATAACTGGCGACATGAACCCTGGATTGAAAGCTTAACTTTTTGGCCACCACCGGGACCCAACTCCCACTCCCACTCACGCTCCCACTCGCTCCCACTCGCTCCCACTCACGCACACGCTCCCACTCCCTACACCCACTCCCGTCCTTCGCTTAACCACCCGGACCACTGATGGACACACAAAACCCACATTTGTTTGAACCTTTTGGTCAGCTATTGCGAACACCATGTGACCTGGCCTGGACCTGGATCCTCATCGTCGGAAACGCATATCATTCGTGACTCGGCAATGTTTGTTCAGTCGAACCCGGTTTGGGCGCAGGCACCATGCTCGTCGTGCTATGCAAACGGCAGAAAGGTATACACACACACACACACACACACACACGGCTTGCCATGAGCAGACAGACTGTTTGCTTCTGCAACACGCTTGTTTCGTGGCGTCGCTTTGGAATTCCGCTAGCGAGGCCGGCCAATGCTTGTCGGGTAGTCGACAAGACACTTCCTGCCCATGTAGCTTCACACGCCCGCGCGTCTGTTAGAGTCCCTCGAAGAGTTCACGAGCATCTACATGCAATGCACTTTTCCCTTGTCGCAGGGGCCAGCCAGACTCGCGGATCCCCATGGTGCAGCCAGCCGTTCACCACACCGCACTGTGTCCCTTTTTTTTTGACGGCAGAGCCACGTACGCCAACAAATCTATTCGTGGGCACGCCATGGTTTCGGTGTTTGACAAGTACACTACACATGGCAGCACCGCTACTGGCTCGGTCAATCAGATCCGACTGCCTCTACCATCGTCACGCACCCGCCCGTTCATGACCCACCGTCGACCACAACCAACGTACACTTAAACCCCTCAGACACGACTGTTTTTGGCGCCACAAAGCCCACGCCATGGTCTCACATGTAATGGTTGTCACTGACACGCGGCCTTGTTACTGGTCGCTATGCCACGAACGTGTCGTCGGTCCCAACTCGCAAAAAAAAATTCCCATCTCCCAAGGGTGTGGTGCCGCCCGTATTCTTTCCGCGGGAACGGGGCGCATCCGCTCGACGCCTCGGTGTTTGACCTGGATCGGCTACCCATGTCGAGAATCCTAGTGGACTCCAGACACGTTATTACAACGACACTTCATACACACACAATACCCTAAAATCGCGACCTTTTCGGCTCCAAGTCCTGCCATATCTCAGCCCTTCGTCTTCGTATGTGTCGCAGCATGACTAACTTCAAAGTCTCACGGCTATTGCCGTTCGTCTCAAGTTCCAACCGTAATGGTTGCCATCTGTTATCTTGACAGCCGCACTGTGCTCACATATCATCCGCACGCAAACAACTGATCCCGAAACGCTAAGCCTTTGACCGGCAGATGAGTAGTCAGGTAGCTGACCACTAGTGAATTACCGCTGGTCTATGTTTTTTATTTTGGGTACTTTTGCACAATTAGACTTTGTGGCAAAGTACAAATCGATCTAACACGAGCCGTCTCACAGTCTCACTGACCTCTCTCATTCTTTTTTTCTTGTTTGTTGCTGATTCTTTTTTTGGCGTGGCTGGGGAGGGTGGTGCCACTTTTGTAACTAAGATTTGCGGCTACAAGAAAACAAACCCACCACCACCATCATCACTATCACAACAGGGGCGGCCATTTTCTAAAGCAAAGAAAAGAGGGAAATTTGCACACCACTATCATCTGTGCCCCCCCTCCCCCTGAGTTGGAATAAACAATAATCATCCTATTAGTCTTTTTTTTTCTTTGGTGCAATAGAATGAAAAAATTTCGTCGGTGTTGCACCCAAGCCAGTCGGTCGTGCGGGCTTAAAAAGTCTGAGGGAAACCTGCTTAGGAGGGGGGGGGGCCTGTGTGTGTCAAGTGTGTAATTTTATATAAAAAATCAAAAATTGCGGGCAAGCAAATCATAATAAGCTGGAGAATAGCCCGCGGGGGCCAAAGGATGAAAAAAAAATCAAAGTACAAAGTCAAGTACAGTAGTGACTTTACACGCGCGCAAGCAAGTAAATATACATTATTTTTTTTGTTTTGTTTAAAAGGCCCAAGCAACCAACCAACCAAGCTAGCAACCAAATCATGTGGACATGATATGCGCGTACTTATTTGATATTTTTTTTTCTTTCTTGATCCATATGGTACTTACTCTTGATTCTTGCTGTTTTTTTCCTTAGTTGTTGTCGGGATATATATCTACTCTACGTACCTTCTGCATGGTGCAGAAGGTTAGTTAGCCTTTTTGCACTACAGTTTTTTTAGGGGGGGGGAGGGGAGAGAAGGGAGGGGAGGGTGCAGATGAACGCTGAATATTCTCCACACCAGCACCCCCGTTTTTTTTCGGGGGGGGGGGGGAGGGGAGTTGGTTACTTGAATATGTATGCTGGGTATATGCGCTGGTTGGTTGGTTGGATATGGAAATGGAAGGGAAATGGAAGGGAAATGCGGATAGGAATGCGAATAGGAATGTGAATGTGAATGTGAAATGCCATGTTTTGTGTTTTTTCATCTTACATATGAATTTCCATTCGAGGTTGGAATGAGGGATGGATGTGTTGATGGCGTGGATTTGATAATGGGGTATTAGAGGATTCTTATAGATATATATAGAGACATAGAAGTTAGTATTAGTATCAGTGTCAGGTATTAAGACAATATAAGGAATACTTATGCGGATAGAATACTAGGCGTGTAGTTAGTTGAGTGTGTAGGATAGGAGATTGGTAGCAGAGAGAGAGAGAGAGAGAGAGATGTATTGATGGTAGGAATTATAGTGTTCCTACATGGTTTTTTCTTTAGATATGAATTATAAGTCATGTAAGATGGGTGTATTTGTTTTATTGCTTGGAAGAATGGTCTTGGTATTAATCATAGTATCAAATCATCTCTATCTGAAAGGCGTGGGGATATAGGTTTTCTCTCTTTGATAGTATTACACTTGCGCAGTTCATCTACACTTTTAATAGAATACTTCTATTAACTGCTATGCAGAACAATCAACTTATCAGTACTACCATGCAAGATACGAAAACTAGCTCTACACCATAGATACATCCGTGAATGTGTATACGCGTTACCCTGCAGAATGACGAATCCCAGCCTAGACCCAACACCCAGCACCCAACCAACTAGCCCCTAAACATATCCCGACATCCCCGTCCTACCCACCTGCACGCAGCACATGTATCCAAGGCATAGAATCCGCTAGAAGACGTGCCCTACGACCGTATGACACCTAGTATTAGCCGCAGTCCTGCCCAACGCCCAAAACAATTTTCCCCCACCACGGTCGAGACTGTGTAGAACGACACTATACCCGCGCAAAACCTTCCCGTCTTGGGGCCCCAACTAACCTACTAACCCCCTCCATTACGCATTTGCCCGAGAATCATGGAAGAGCTAGTTTAGAAAAAAAAAACCCCCTAGAAAAAAATCGTACGACATTAGAAAGAAAGAGAGAAAAAAAAACCCTAACCGTGTTGTCTGCCGGAAAAAAAATTGCTGCGTTATCGTCTAGACTATAATCTATTGGGGGTTTTTTTTTGGCCGGCCAGCTTTCGTATTCCAAAGTGGGGTTAAGTTGGACTTGTTCCTGCTCCAGTGGGGAGCGGGTGTTAAGGATAACCCCACCATGGATATGTACCGCGGCCCAAAGCAGCAAGCACACCCTTGTTCCCCCAAATTCTCTCAAAAATTCACGTCGGGGAATTTTTTTTGGACATGATTCATTTGCAGCTGTTTCATTTCCAGCTGTGAATCGGCTCTGGAATCTCAATCTAGCTAAGGTATAATGTTGCTAGCTTATCGTTCTTCCATCAATCCGATATGGTCTAGTGGCTAGGATTTGCCGCTCTCATCTCGAGACTCAGTTCACTGATTACAAGGTGCCGGCAAGGCCCGGGTTCGATTCCCGGTGTCGGAAAGCGTTCTTTTTTGCGTGTTTGGGGGGGCTGGATATGGTGGTGTGGTGATATGGCGATGGTGGGCGTGGAGTTGGCTGGGCTGACGGTGCTGGGAATCGTCGCTGCGGCGGAGCACGCAATCACGTTTAGATAAGCGAGGGAGAAGAGGATTTCTTTGTCTGTTTCCAGAAGCAGGGATTGACGTGTAAGAGGATATAGTTTTTTTGATGCGTTTACGCACATTGGTGGCAAAGTCTAGACGGGGCGATCGCATGGAAGAACCGTTGTGTTCTATGAATCTTCTGCGGCCAGGCCTTGAAACATGCTGTCGTATGCATGTGCAGGCTACAGGGGTCGGTCGTATGCGATTCCAGCCAGGTGGTGCCATGTTCAGACTCAAACGCGTCTCGGGGCCATGCATAACACCAAGTCAAACCAGCCACCCATCGCATGATTCAAAACAATGCAAATATCACCGACAGTATGGTTCGTGTTGCTGTTAGACAGCGTTTCCATTAGCGTTCATAAACGATATATCAGCCATGATATAAACGTACGTTTGTTCCGAACGCGAAGAAACAAGCTCGTAACGACAGGAATGCAAATTTTGTCGGTACTTAGAGTGGCCAAGGAAATCTAGATATTTGCATCTCCATATGTACGTACACGCTGATGCTACATGAAACCGAAAGTCGCTAGATGTACACATGAGAAGGACGGGCTAATCCAAACTTTTTTTGTTTTTGCAGCGTCTTGGAAGTATGTGATGGAGTCGTCGTCAACCCGACTCAGACCACCACTATTAGACTATTATTCCTCGCGTAGCACGGCGGCTGTGTATCCCGCTTTCCCCGTACTGGCATTCTCGGCTGCGCTCTTGAGCCAGCAGTTCGCGCCACTCCCTGTTTCGTACTGGTGGCGAAAGTTGGCATTCACCACGGCTGCTTTGCATGTTTTGTTGGTTTGGCTCAGGGCGCTGTACTGGCTGCAGGCGTCGACGCACTGCTCAAGGGTATATGCGGTAAAGGCCATGAGGTTGGGCTCGTCTAGTATGTTGGTACTGTCGAGGCAGCTGTACATGTAGCGGCCGCTAATGTCTGATGTCTTGCCTTGTAGTCGGCTTGAGACGAGTAGCGTGGATGGACATGTTGCGTTTATCGATTGGATGGCGCCAAAGGGCAGTGCGGTATATGTTGGACCATAGTCTTGATTGTCGCTAGAAGTGCCTGTTGCTGTAGCGGTGGCAGTCGGTGTTGGAGGCCCATTTGATGTACTAGACGTGGTTTCACCGCCAGCGGATCTGCAGATAAATTAGTGGTGAGTACGGAATTCATGGGCGAAAAGACAGACATACTGTACAGCTTTGTCCTGCACATACAAAGCACCTCCTATGCTCGATCCGATGAGCGCGCCGACGATAAACAATGTGAAGATGACGATGAATATGAATTTGCGTCGGCGGTGGGCAAAGAACTTCTTCACCATGTCCGGGGGCACCTCGACAGTAGGCCCATATTTAGACTGATCGCTGCGCGGTCCTGGACGATAAGACGTGCGTTCTTGAGATGTTCGGATACGTGTGGATGCTTCGTCGGCATTTGAATGGTCTTGTATCTGCGGCAGTTTTGTATCGCGGTTCACAGAATACCGATTAACAGCCTCAGGGTACGGCTCAGGCTCCGCGATTTGCAGGCCTTCAGACGATTTGGGCGATTCTCTTGGTATTTCTTTGGTCCGGCCTCTAGACGATCCTTTGCACGATGCTTCGGAAGATGCCTCAGACGACGGCATGACGTGTTCGGGCCTGTAGTTAGTGACACCCGCGGTCGGCTCGAGAACGGTTAAAACAAAGACTGCGTGTAACCAATCTGAGGGACCAGACCCAGGTTTAAGGGCCATCGTTTATCGGAGCTAGGCCCTTGCAAGCCATGTTCCCGTCATGGGGCGTGCGTGTAAGATCTACAGATGCTGATATGCTTGCAGCAAGACCGTGTGGGGTTGCGGAGATCGCATGGCCTGATTCACTGCGTTCTCCGCACGCGGGACGACATCGATGCGCCTCGTGGCTCGGAGACGGATACACATACGCGTACCTTGTTCATGATAATCCCCTCCACGAGAGGTATGATAGGTCAAGCAGCCATATCAATCAGTCGAATAAGTCTCAATACGGTAATCCCTTGCTGACCCCTTAATGTCACTCGCCCTTGCGCAGGCTAACATCAAGCCCTCATGCTACCACCTTCGTATGCAGTTAGTTTGCAATGCTAACGAGATGCCATGCCGTTCGACATGTGCTTAAACCCCTGCTCTTGACGCTATTCTACATCTCTTTCGGCGTGGGATTTCCGCTTCTTGATAACAGGATCCGATGGCGCAATACCCTGTTCTCAGCCGGCAATTCTAGATCCCCAACGCCTTTTCAGGGCTGCAGATAAGCAGGAGCGGTTGAGAAATTTCCGTGTCTCGTAACGATGGTGTGAATACGATTGGCCCTTGCAGACCCGTTCTCATATTGCGTCCAAGGAAAAACTTAATATGTTGTGGAGTTGGCCCTCAGATGTTGGTATTCAAATTCCGGTATCGCCATGACGACTCAAGAATGCTGATTAGGCCGTGGAAGTGGTTGAGGTTGGAACCAATACGTGCTGCGTGTACGCTTGATGCAAGTAGAGTCGAGCACAGCCACCGCCACAGTGATGACGTACTGGTCTGAACCGTCACAAGAGCACAACGCAGCAAAGCTTCAACAGCACATCTAGCGCATCCAACTTAATCACATGCTGTGGCGCAGCTGCGAATAAGCATCATCACTTTTGCCAACTTGTGGCTACCATACCAGTACACGTTGCCATCTTCTCGTACCTAGGCAGCAGCATTGTTCACATAGTCCAGGTCGCCACGACTACAGCCGGGGCTCCCGGAGCCTTACAACCTTACCACAAATCCCCTGTACCATCGCTACAAAGCCTTTTCTAGCCGCAGTGCTTGAGGCGCGTACACTTGTGGCCTCGCCAGTTGTTGTATCCACGCAGGGCACCTTGCCACACTGATTCCCAACCACCATGGACTTTCCCCGCGGCCACGCAGCTCTACCGCTTACAGAGCCCGATTTTCTGGACTTCATCTACAATTATTTCAAAGCAGAATACTATCCCATCCGGTCTTTCTGGTCTACAGCCGCCGCTGTCCCGCAACATAGCGAACGATGGATTTCCATGGGCCATGAGCTCGCGCCACTCATGGTCCGGCCTGCCAACGCACAGGCACAAAAGGACCTCGAGTCGCTCGACTACTTTACGCGAAGATGGAATTTGGACGCCGGATTCGTCAGAGGCTTGGTCATCAGGTTTGCCAAGTATGAAGTACACGAAAGACTGGAGAAGAAGCTATACGAATGCGCTCGACTCGACCTGATGGTCCGCAAAGCCTTGAAGGAGAAGCACTTGATCGATGCGCTTTGGCCCAGCCCCGCACCACGCAACATTCCAAAGGAATTGCTCCAACAGGGCGTTCAGGTCCGGCAATGGTACGGCGACATGTTCCACAAGTACTTTCGTGTTCTGCGCTCTCTGGACGATTTCCAGGTGCGCCCTGAAGTCGATAGTCACATCAAGAGTAGTGGGACATTGATGCTGCTGCCGTTTGTCGACCATTTGATATTTGGAACCGTGGATCCTATCATGCCGATTGTTGCAAAAGGAGCAGGCTATTCGAATGCGAGGAATTTGCAGAGACCGGATCACCGCGCTGAAGGCTTTGGAGAGCCTGGAAAATTCGAAATCCGATTTGATGCGCCTGCTGAGGTTACGGATACGTACACAAAGACTGTTGTGCGGCAGTGTCAATGCATGAAATGTGGGACAAAGAGGGATGTACAGGTAATCGTCTCCGTTGACCCGAGTCCAGATGCTGGTGTAGGGAGAAGATCTACTTCTGGAGACAGGAGACGAGATGCAGGGTCATCCAATTCAAGAGCTGGGCAAAGGTACAGTTCAGGATATCAGATGCCTAGCGAAGCTGAGCCAGCACCGCCCCGTCAACCGCCTCGACCACAGCGGACAGTCCAGAGCCAGGAGTCATCACGCCCATCAACACCAGACCTCAAGAAGCAATGTCCTCGCTGCACCTTCCTCAACCATCCGAATCTCACAGCCTGTGAAATGTGCGAGGCTACCTTACCTGAGGCTACCATAGCCAAGCCACCGAGCCCTGCAGAAGTGAGGGCTCCTTCACATTCCCACTCAGCTTCAGAGCCGCCCCCGACCGCGCCAAACCCACGACAAGAAGAGCTAAAAAAGACCCAAAGACCAAATGCACCAAACAGACACAGCCTCAGCTCCAGCCTCTTCTCCATCTTCCCCTTCTCGCAACAACACCAGCAAGAACACCACGCCAAGTTGCCCGCCACCCAAACCGTCGACACACAGCCCGCCACACAGTCCACCTCAAAACAAGAACCACAGACCCCATCCAGACAGCAAAAGGAGTCTCAAATCACTCCGCCCATGACTCCCCACGCCGAGTCCTCCTCCCACCGACAAACACAACCCACCACTTCCGCACCACCGCCAGACAACAACAACAACTACACCCTCTCCGACCCCCCGCTATCCCAGCACCCAGAAATGGCCATGCTACCCCTCTCCCCCTCTTCCCCGCCCTCCACAGCCACACGCCGCGTCCCCGCCGGTCTACCAAGCAACCTAATGGACGACTTTGTCCCCGTGTCCCCGGCATACGCGAAACAAGATGTTGACGACGACGAAGATGCGGGTTGGGGCTCTGTGAGTCGCGAGGAAGCGAGACACAAAGGCGATGCGGATAGCGATGTGGAGGAGGCGAGGGAGAATGCGAGGAGAGGACTGATTGATTTGGATGCCGTGGCGAGAGAAGAGGCGGATGTTTGGGGGGATAGGGATGACTAGTCGTGTTGTAATTTGGGAACTGCGGGCGTTAAGTGGTGTTGTTTGGTTGTTTGATACACGATCATGTAGACTGCGTCTTTTTTTTTAAATGGAAATGGAAATGACAAGAATGCATGACTGGGGGGTTAGGTCGGAGTGAATATACGGTTTCAAAGTGACTTTTGGCTTGGACTTGCAACATATACACACATATACACATACAAGTGGTGAAAGCCGTGTTTTGAACGCGGGAAAAATGCATATATAGTTGAATCCTCTCCCAGTAAAACTCCTCGCTCGTGGTGTTGTCTCTCCAAGGAACATCACCCCCCCCCCGCCCCCTCTTTCCATGCACCATGCACCATGCACCATGCACCATGCACCATGCACCATGCACCATGCACCATGCACCATGCACCATGCGCCGAGACGATTTTCTGCTACCATACAGTGGCGGCCCTGTGTATGCTGAGCGAGTGAGTGTCTATGTGGCCCCTTCCCCCGAGAACCTTCCCAGTCCAAACTCCCTCAGACATTCCATTATCAAAACTTCTTCTAAGAGTTGAGGTAGGCGCGGACAGCGCCTTGTAGCCTTGTAGCACCCTCGCCAAGCATGTTGGTCAGATTCTCCAGGTCGTCGCCAGCGGTAAGGCCAAACTTGCGTACAAAGTCTTTGGCGGCACTCTCCAGATCGCCATAGTCGTCATCGGCGACATCGTCTTCAGGACGGCCAAAGTAGGCGTTGGAGGAAATGGCGGTTGCGCCTTCGAAGCCTGCAGAATGTGTGAGGAAACGTGGTTTCAATCTGTCTTACAAAAATGTGCTTACCTGATAGCCTCTCCTTTGCCTGCGCAGTCGCTGTAGGGTCGTATGCGTTGCGGCCAAAGAACTCGTCGCTTGAGATACCCTTTTGCGAGCCAAATTTTTCCCGCGCGTACTTTTCGTCGTCGTCCTCAACAGGCTTGCTGACGCTTCCGAAGCCTCCCATCTTCTTCTGTGCAACTGGCTTCTTCGCAGCGCCTACTTGTCCGAAACCCAGACGCTGTACACCCATGCCTAGCCTCTCCATACCCTGACTTGAGCGCTCAGGCTTGGAAGTTGAACCAAATCCACCACGCGGCGGGGACACAGGAGTGGGTGAGATGATGGATGATTCAGAGGCCTTGGACTTGCTGGCCGCAGCGACCTCAGCAGCTTCAGCGTCGGGATCGTAGCCCAGCTTCTCAATACGCTCTGCCTCTTCACGAGCCTTTCGCTCCGCCTCTTCAAAATCAAGTCCGCCATCAGCAGCGACCACCTTCTTGGCACCGAGGCCCTTCTTCTTAGCTCCCAGAATATTCTTCTTTGGTGCAGCGCCTCCAGCAGTCTTCCGTACAGCAGCGGGCTTTGCAGCAACCGTGGGCGTGCTTGGCTCGGAGCCTGAAGCAAGTGGTGACTTTGGGCGATCTGTCCCACTGCCGTTGGCACCGGGCTTGAGGAAAGGTGATCCCATCGCCTTTGGCGTGCCGGTACGCGAGGGTGGGTTCGAGGGTCGCTTGATTGTTGGCTTGTCCCAGGAAGCGAAAAAGTCGTCATCTTCGCCTGCGGGAGTGTTCGTACCGTCGCTGCCCGTCTCGGGAACATCCGTAATCACCACTTCGTTGGGATACCTGATACCACCGAGTCAGCTTGTGCCTCCGTACCCTCCGGCATAAACTCACAGCTTGGCGTCCGCAGCACAGCGCCTGGCCAGCTCTTCCTTGTACTTGTTGGCGGCGTTGCTGGTGTATTTGGCCTTGTGGTCTTTGCTTGCGAGCGCGGCAGAGCCTCCGTGCGATTGAAAGTATTTGGTCGCGCTTTCGTTGCCGCCGACCTTCATGATTCGTAGCTGATCCCATTGCCAGACTGTCCTCAGTCAATATGCATGCGTGTTTCATGCGCCCATTGGGCCCAGGGGAGACGTACTGTCGAGGTTGGTGGAGCGAACGAACGAGATGTGGACACCCATGTTACGGTGATTGGACGAACAGTCGAGGCAGAGGTAGATGCCAAACGGCACAGAACTCCATGTTGGGTTCTTTGCGCCGCAGTCGAAGCATATCTAGCCATTCCTTAGGTGTCATTCAAGCGCTGGCTGTTGCGAATACATACTTTATTGGCTGGCTTGGCCTTGAGTTTGGTAAATATGTTTTGCGACTGCGTCTTAGTCGCGAGAGCGGCCATGGTGAAGACTGGGCAGGAAGGATGTGGGTAGGCGGTAAAGGAGTCGAGCTGTGGTGGGGATAATTTGGGTTGCGGCGCCCGGGAATGCTAGGGTGGCCGTTCGGTCGAAGCCCCAGACCCGCCGCGTGCTTGACACGTGACAAGGGTCGTATTCCCATGTCGCGACTCTATGTCTTGCCTTCGCCATGCTCATGAATCCTAGTAACACGCCCTTGATGCACACGTACACGCTATGCTTCTCGAGGCCAATTTCTGCGCCAGCGAATGCCTTAAACATTACGTCATTACTCACGCAACCAACTACCACTCCATACTGCACCTGATGCGCGGGCTTCGCAGATCGTATCACTACGAACGACATTGCTAGACACGATGACAAAGACTCTTATCTTCGACTGATATGAATAGCAAAAGAATACATGTCGAACCCCATTTTCCTATCTTCCCGTCCCACGTCGCCTGACGCGGCGGCACAAGTGGGGTAGAGGTGTATATCAAGGAACTGGTGTATCACAGCCCTTGTTTTATACGGTCTTTCCAGATCTCTTGTTTGAGGTCATTTCAATCCATAACTCAACTCGGTTTCCATCATGTCTTCCCCAGTACAAACCGTCCCTGCTCGCCGCGGAGCAGCCACCCTCGTCAAAAGCGGCCAAAAGATCAAGATAACCAACACACATGGCAACCAAGTAGTCGATACCTGGGCTCTAGCGCTCCCCTCTTCAACCCTCATGACCTCATCTTCCAAGGCCGAAGCTGCACTTTACCCAAACGCGACTGCCGACTCGCCCTCCAAGTACTCGGCCGCTGCCAATGCCGCTGCCAGTGCGCCCGAATACATGTCCATGTGCCACTGTCGCGCGACGCTGTTGAAAATCACGCCTGCCGTGGGTGATGTCATGGTTAGCCAGAAGAGGGCACCAATGGTAAAACTAGTGGAGGACACAAGTCCAGGGGTACACGATACTTTGATTGCAGCGTGCGATCGGTGGCGATACAGTGAACTGGGTGTCGACGGGTACCATGAGAGCTGCACAGACAATTTCTGGGATGCATTGGACTTACTTTCCGCTGCTGCTTCTCTGACTGCTGAGGAAAAGGAGGCTCTGGAAGTTTTGAAAGGAAAGTTGGGAGGCAGGGTCCCTGATCCTTTCAACTTGTTCATGAATATCCCCATCACGCAGGAGGGCGAGGGTGCGAAACGGGGTGTGAGTTTCGAAGAGCCAAAGACAAAGGCAGGAGACTATGTCGTTTTGGAGGCTCTGCGAGACGTGGTTGTGGTGATGAGTGCATGTCCTCAAGATGTTCTTACCATCAACGGGAAGAATCCTGTAGATGCCCACTTCCAGGTCATGGACTGAGTTGGGATATACGATGGTTCTGGGCCTTGATGATATAATATTGCAGTTATGCTTGATTTCTTTCACTGCCCACTTGGTCATTCTGGTCTCACGGTCGAAACGGAAAGAATTGGAAATTCGACAGTTGCTTGGGGTCATTAGTATAACTTGAACATACATGAAGCTACTTCTCCCGCTAGAATGTTGAACGTATAATACTTTGATCATGTAATAGTCGTACCGAGGAGCATGACTTGGCACTAGCAAGGCACGCCTGTGCCACCGAATGCAGTTAGACTGCTCGACAAAGCCACACACAAGTTCACAGACAAACTGCGCCGGATATCGTATGCATGCATTTACGGCCGATATGCTATCTCAAAACGACGAAGATGGCTGGCTGTGAATCTCGGTATTTGGAGGCAGGACGGCTGGAGGGTGTCCAATGTGGCCCTAGCGCCGAGGCGAACTGCCGCTAGGCGGTGGGGAATATTTTTTGGTATCGATAGGTAGCGCCTCGAACTTTTTGCCAGCCCTTCTCTCGGAGCGCAGACCGCGACCACAACAACCACAGACCCGCAGTCGCCAAAATGAAGACTCAGTGGAAGGACATCCCCGCCGTGCCGACGAGCCAGGAGTTCCTGGACATTGTGCTCTCCAGGACGCAGAGGAGGTAAGGCTTCCCCTCCATCTGTGCGCAATCCACGCCCACGCGCTGAGATTTGCGCTGCTCATGCGCCAGCTATACGCCACATCTGGGACAAGATGGCTGACACGGAAATAACAGGCTGCCTACGCAAATCCGTGCGGGATTCAAGATTAGCAGAATCCGAGCCTTCTACACACGAAAAGTCAAGTACACGTCCGAGACCTTCGTCGAGCGCCTCTCCACCACCATCGAGGCATTCCCGCGCCTGCAGGACATCCACCCATTCCACCGCGATCTCCTCAACACCCTCTACGATGCGGACCACTTCCGCATCGCCCTGGGTCAGCTTTCGACTGCCAAGTCGCTGATCGAGACGGTTGCGCGCGACTATGTTCGCCTTCTCAAATACGGACAGTCGCTCTTCCAGTGCAAGCAGTTGAAGCGGGCTGCGCTCGGTCGCATGGCAACCATTTGCAAGCGATTGAAGGATCCTCTTGTCTACCTCGAGCAGGTCAGGCAGCATCTGGGCCGTCTTCCGTCCATCGACCCCAACACCCGCACCCTCGTCATCTCTGGATTTCCCAATGTGGGCAAGTCTTCGTTTCTCAAGTCCATTTCCAGGGCCGATGTCGAGGTCCAGCCATATGCTTTCACCACCAAGAGCTTGTACGTTGGTCACTTCGACTACAAGATGCTTCGCTTCCAGGCAGTGGACACGCCTGGTATCTTGGACCACGCGCTCGAGGAAATGAACACTATTGAGCACCAGTCCATCTGCGCCATTGCCCATCTCCGCGCCCACATCCTCTACTTTATGGATCTCAGTGAGCAGTGCGGTTACTCTGTTGCCTCGCAAATCGCCCTCTTCAACAACATCAAGCCTCTGTTCGCGAACAAGCTGATCACTATTGTGATCAACAAGATCGATCTCATGCGTCCTGACCAGCTTGATGCCGAAACACAAGCTCAGCTGCAGAGCATGCGCAAGTCTGGCGAGGTAGAGATGCTGGAGCTTTCTTGCAGCACAACCGAAGGCGTCATGGCTGTGCGAAACGCAGTCTGCGATCGCTTGATTGCTGCCCGTAACGCAGAGAAGCTCAAGGCCGGTACCAACAGCGCCGGCGAGCCATCTGGCCGTCTGGGTGAATTGCTACGTCGTATTCACGTTGCTCAGCCGTTGGGCGGCGTGACGCGCGAGACTTCTATCCCAGAAGCAGCATTGAACAAGAAGAAGTACGACAAAAACGACCCTGACAGGCCAATGCTCGAGCGTGATCTGGAAGAGGAGAACGGTGGAGCTGGTGTGTACAACATTGACCTCCGCAAGAACTATCTCCTCGAAAACGATGAATGGAAACACGACCGTATTCCAGAAGTGTTCAAGGGCCAGAACGTCTACGACTTCATTGACCCTGATATTGAGGCTAAACTTGCCGCGCTTGAGGCTGAGGAAGAGAAGTTGGAGGGCGAAGGATTCTATGACTCTGACGACGATCTCGAGGATGCAGAGGAGGCGGACATTCGGTACAAGGCAGAGCTGATCCGCGAGAAGAGGCAACTCATCCGAAACGAAGCCAAAATGCGTAAGAGCCTGAAGAACAGGGCTGTCATCCCCAGGACGAAGAAGGCGAAGCAAATGTCACAGATGGAGTCGCACCTCGAGAGCCTCGGATACGACACTACAAAGGTTGTCGAGCGTGCAACGGCTCAAGCAGAAGCACGAGGACGCAGCTTGGCTCGCGGCAGGTCAGAAGGACCCAACGGCGACGTCATGGACATTGACACACCCAAGTCGGCCCTTGAACGTGCAAAGAGCCGTGGTCGCAGCCAAAGCACAAACCGAAGAAACGATGGTGTTACGGATGCGGAGGCCGCCTCCAAGGCTGAGAAGCTGGCCAAGTTGTCGCAGAAGAAGATGAACAGGATGGCCAGACAGGGTGAAGCCGATAGGCACCAGACTGGCTCTCTAATCAAGCACCTGGTGAGTTTTGTCCATATCATACTACAGAATTACCCGCTAATAACGACCTAGACTGCCGGCAAGCGTGGTATCGGAAAGACCAGCCACAGGTGAGCAACTTGCAGTGTTCAGCGTTGTTGCATTATGTTTTGCAGGCTGGGAAAAACATGGCGGCGTTCAGGATGCATTAGATACCAAGTCGTTGTCTGCAAAAGCAGCGTGGTAATCCTACAATTTCTTGTCGAATTAGAGCATCCATACATGATTGTGGTATACAGAAAGTGTTGGTCGTGGGTGAATGATTTGTTGTTCAGTCTTCCTACACCGCAAGGCACGACATGGCGACGACGATGTTAATCACATGACATGTGACGGTACAGCTTCATTGGGGTGAAGTGAACGGCGAACTCAGCATTGCTCCGCCTCGTGGTCTCTTGGCGGACGTCTTTGTCTATCTTGGCACGACACCCTAATTTCCTGTGTGGACATCACACGGAGAAACCCTCGGGCAAACCTCCCACCTACTGCAATCTCGTGAGGAACAGCAGAAAGAGCTATGACGGTGTTTGGAAGAGCAGATCATGTTGGGGACTTTCACGATCGAGCCGCCTCAGTTATAAATACCAGAATTGAGAGGGCGCAGCAATATGGCAATACACATTGACTAGACACCACCAGCTTGCACCGCTCAGAACCCTGTCGATATGCTGCTAGACGCCGATCTATTCAGACCCACACGTCCATATCACCCACTCACCGTTTGTGGCGTACACGATGGTGGGTTTCAAGGCGCCAGCCAGCCACTACCACTGTGCATTAGCATTGCACACTGCCGTGTACCTGCGAGGCAGTGTTGACGATGATCCTCCCACGGGATGAAGATGGCTTCTAATTTGGGGGCCTTGAAGAGATGATCTCCACTCTGGACGCCTAAAATGTCTTGCCGCCGCTATCTGAATTAGACCGTGTTCCCGGTTTTGGGGTTGCAGCCAGCAAAAGTCGACGTGGGATTGATCACCGAGCTCGCGTTTGCGCGTGGCCTGGGGGGAATATCGCTGTCTCACCTCCGTCGTGTTGCCCGCGGAACGTCGTTAAAAATCTCTACGGCATGTTGGCCCTAGCGCGGCACAGCTTGCTGGCACTCGCATGTGCAAGCGCTGTCATTGCGATACCAGCCCGTATGTTTTCTGATTGTTTCCGAGAGATTGACTTTACACTTTGTACTAATGCACCACCAGCTTCTACATACCCAGACGGCGCCCTCACCCGCGATCTCGCCATACGCCAAGATGCCGTCGAAAACTGTGACGGGAATTATACCAGCAAGAACGGGCTTGCGTTTACGATATACTGCGGACAGAACAATCCACAGAATGGTGAGGCTCGTGCTACACTGTTTGTTGCCAGAGAGCGTTTGACTTACCAATGGTAGACGCTGTGAGAAACGACAAGGGAGTCGGGATATGGTTTTACACTGGCACATACACCGAGTGTCTGGAGCACTGCTCGCGCTTCTGGGGCGACGGCGAAGGCTGCTTTGGCATCACCTGGACTGGAGGTGGCGGCCATTGCTGGCTCCGAACCAGCAACGTCACCACCGCAACCCTCGAACCCCAGGCCGATGCCGTGTCTGCTGTTCTTACCGACAAGAGCCAGATGAAGGGCTTCGACAAAGAGTGCCCAAACGCAGACTTGTCGGACAAAGCCCTCCCTGGCGTCGAAGGCATATCCTACACAACGCACTGCGGCAAGGTCATTGCAGAGCCACCGCACTGCTTCAACGAATTCGACTGTCTCGAAGTCCCATACCGCGCCTTCTACCACACATGGTCGCTGGAAGAATGCCTGAAAGTCTGTGCTGGCCTCCACCCGCTCTGCCGCGCCGTCTCATGGAACCCCGGGCTCGAAGTCGGCTTCGCAAACTGCTGGCCCAAGTACGGGCTCCAGCCGTCCTTTGTAAACCCCATCGCCAAACAAGGCATCATGCACGCCGCGCAGATGATTGCCTTTGACACCCCAGACACCAAATGCCCTACAGACAGCGTGTACCACGCCGGCGGCACCAAGGCCGGCCCGCGCTTCGACATCCACTGCGGCAAGCTGAATCCAGGCCGCAACATTACCAATCTGCACACGCAGAATGTGACTGCGTGCATGGATGCGTGTGCGGCCAGCACCCAAGGCTGCAAAGCCATTCTGTTTTCCTCGGTGCTCGACGCCGGGTATAACAATTGCTATCTGCAGAATACAACGAGTATTATTACCGACCAGCCGACGGCTACCTATGCTGTTATTGCCGATGCGGCGATTCCTTCGTCCAGCACCGACCTGGAGAATGCTACTGCGTCTGGATCTTCTGCCTCTTCTTCTTCTTCTTCTTCTTCTTCTTCTTCTTCTTCTTCTTCTTCTTCTTCTTCTTCTTCTTCCAGTAACAACAACAACGGTAATTCAGACTCCTCCTCCTCCTCCTCCCCAAGCAAAGCCTGGATCGCCGGCCCAGCAATCGGCGGCGTAATCGCTCTCGCTGCCCTCGCCGCTCTTCTCCTCTGGTACCGCCGCCGAAAACCGCATTCCCACTCCTCCCCTTCTTCTTCTTCTTCTCCCCTGGAAAAAGACGCCGCCACAGCAACAGCAGCGTACAATGACCCTGAAACCCCGTTTTACGGTAATACTGGTGGTGGAGGTGGAGGTAGTGGAGGAGGAGGAGGAGGACAACAGCATTACACAGCCGAAATGCAAGCTACAAGTCGAAATGAGTTACAAGGTAGTAGCAAGGCACCCGTGTGTTTTGGCCCCCGAGGTGAGGCCCAGGAGATGCCTGGGTGATTGATAGATTTTGGTGCTTGAGTTTGCGTAGTGTTTTAGTTCTTGTTTTTTTCTTTTCTTTTCTTTTTTTTGAAGTGGGTTTGGGCTACGTTATGGGAGAGGAGGGGAGGGGGAGAAGGAGAAAGGAGAGGGAGGGAAGACAGAAGGAGAAGGGAAAGAAGGAGATGGATTTACATTCATACATGGAGTTATTTGTATGATACCTTTGATGATTTGATGATTTATTTTATTTATTGAAGTCTTTTTTTTTAAATATATATATATATATTATATTTGAGAACTGAGTGAATTAGGGAGGGGGGGGGTAGCGTTGGTTATGGATATGTATGATTATATGTATGTAGGGATGTAAGTAAGTAAGTAAGTGGTAGAGGACCGAGGTATTGAAATTGCAGATCAGAGTCGTATATCGTATTCGTTACATTCGTTGTATTTATTTATACATATAACCTTGTATATCCCACCGCCCTTGTATATATCGCACCGCCACACCCCCTTCCTCCCAACGACCATTGTAAATCAAGCTACACACTCATCTTCATCGCAATACTCGCATGCGGCTTGTACCCCACGACCTCAAAGTCGTCAGCGACCCACCCATCTATACTACCGCCACCCTCCCGCTTGATCCTCAGCTCGGGGAAGTCTCTCGGGTCACGCAGGACCTGCTCCTTGAGGGCATCGACATGGTCGAGATAGACATGTGCATCGCCCATAGTATGGGTGAAAGAACCCGGTGTCAAGTCGCACACATGAGCCAGCATATGCGTCAGCAGCGCATACGAGGCGATGTTGAAGGGCACGCCGAGTCCCATGTCGCAGGAGCGCTGGTATAGCAGCGAGTGCAGGACACCCCTGGGCCGCTCTTCGCCCTGCTTGTGGCCCGGGAAACTGACGTAGAACTGGGCGAACATGTGGCAAGGGGGCAGGGCCATTTTCTTGATATCGGCGGGGTTCCACGCGCTGAGGATGATGCGGCGGTCATAGGGCTTGTGCTTGAGCTTGTCGATGATGTCGGCGAGCTGGTCGACGCCCTCACCCGTGTAGTCGTGCGCATGGCCCTTGTACTCGGCGCCAAAGTGCCGCCATTGGAAGCCGTACACGGGGCCCAGTTCCCCCTCGGCGTAGTGCGAGAGTCCCACGCTGTCCAGGTACGCGCGGCTGCCGTTGCCGTCCCAGATCTTGATCCCGGCGTCCGAGAGTGCCTGGCTGTGTGTGCTGCCTGCGATGAACCAGAGGAGTTCGCCGATCACGGCGCGCAGGAAGACGCGCTTGGTGGTGAGGAGGGGGAGGATGAGTTGCGGGGGTTGTGTGGGGTCGGACGAGGGTCGTGAGAGGGAGAAGCGCATTTGAGGCGGGAAAGGGACGGCGTAGGTGCCGGTGCCGGTGCGGTCGGGGCGGTACTCGCCATTTTGGAGTATGTCGCGGATTAGAGAGAGGTATTGGTGCTCGTCGTGCGCGGGGTTGCTGGGAGGTGTGGTTGCAGGAGTGCTTTTTTGTTCTGTTTCTTTGGGTTGCTCGGGAGATATGACGGGCTCGAGGACAGACGGAGGCATTGTGGTTCAGCTCTTGCAGAGAAGCGCGGAATAGACCAAAAAAATGTATTTTGAATAGATGGTAGAAAGTTGGGCCAGGCTCGCAAAGCGCGTCGGAATTTCGGAAACGCGACTGCGCGATTGGATGGTTTCGCTCACCGTATGCAATGCACGCAGCCTAACTGCTTTGGCACCTGTCAGACAACAAACAGCAACACTCGACCGGAGCCATGGCGGAGGAACAGGCCGCCCACCACTTGCTGAATGTCGTCGAAGAGCGGGGGTTGAAGGTCGATCTCGACAGGATTCTCTTGGGATTTGAAGATGCGGATACAAACCACCGAGCGGCGGCCTGGGTGGAGGAATACCTGCACGAAGACACGCTGTTGACAAAGGAAGAGTTGGAGCTGTAAGTGTGGCAACCATGTTTCATACGCATACTGACTTGCTGTCAGATATCAGACATTGAAAAAGAAGGGTCTTGTGCATCAGTATGAGAGCGGGAGTGAGCCCACGAGGCCGATTCTGGATCACGAAATCGCATCCGCTATCGAGTCGCTGCAGAGCTCGACGACTGCCATTGAAGCGCAGTGCAAGGTGCTCGAAGCGCAAAAGGATGCCTTGATGAAACTCAAGGCTCTCGACAAGCCCAATTTGAACGCGGAGCATGCACGAAACGAGCGGAAGCGGAAAGAGGGTCAAGAGAAGGCGAGACTCGACGTTTCTGTAAGCCATGACGATGGGTTCAGTGTGCACTACTGACTGTGCAGGTGGACGACATTGCTACCGCCATCAGCGAGCAAATGGCTGATGCGCAGCGGGAAACCGACATGGAAAAGTCTGCGCTGAAAAGCTATGTGGCGGAGCGCTTTGCTTCAGACGACCAGATCCTCAGCCGTCTCCCTGGCCTAGTGTCGCAGATTGTGACGGAGCCAGAGGCCAGCGAGGACGAACAGTCGATTGAACAGTGGTGCAAGGCTATTGTTTCATTCCGCACGGCTGAGATGAAGGCGCGGGTGGACGCTGTGTACCTGGCCAACGTGTGTGGCGGCGCGCAACACGGCGGCTCGGGCGCGCAGGGCGAGACAGAGGCGCAGGCGCGCAAGGCGGCGTTGCAGGCGGAGCTGGAGGAGCTGCACGCCGAGATTGCGTCTGTGACGGAGATGGTGGTTGAGCACGAGATGCGCAAGCCACTGGCGGACATGAAGGGGCGCAGGGACCGAGAGCGGGCGCAGGCACGCACGGCATGGCTGGCCTACGTAGGGGCCTCTCCCCGTTTGTTTTGGCTGCAGCGCTGCTAACACGTGGGCTCAGGTCTTGTCAACGCTCGAATACATGGGTAAGCGACTGAATACTGTTGCGCGCGCGACGCAGCACAGCGACGAGTTTCAGCAGGCGCTCGCGCACATGCAAGCAGCGGCTGCACAGCGAATGCCCGACATGCATGGCCCCGCGCCCGCGCCCACGCCCGCCCACCGACGCCCACAGCCAGCGCTCGCGGCCTTTACGCCCATGGTCAAGCTGCGGCCCAGCCAGGCACTCGACCTGCCCGTGGCGCTGCAGGATGCGCTGCGCCACGCGGGCATGTCGTTCAACCACGACAGCGTCGAAAGCCTCCAGGACGCGCTGATGCAGACGCAGCTCGAGCGCAGCAGGAAGCTGCACGACCACTACGAGTCGGCGGCGGCGGGCGCGCACGACGGGCTTGCCGAGCACTCGAGCAGGGCGGATGCCGACCAGGACGTCATCCTGCGTGCCCTGTACAGACACGCGCCGTTCCAGACTGTCAGGCTAACCAACGCCAAGCTGGACGCACAGCTGAGGGCCATGGAGGCAGAGCTCGAGGAGCGCGACGGCGAGCTGCTCGAGGCCGAGGGCAGCGAGCTGACCATGGACGACGGCAGAGTGCGGGCGTTTGTCGCCAGGTACGGCAGATAGGCCAGGCTGGCTGCGAGCCCGTCGAGGAGCATATCCTGCTTGTATATGCCGGGGCGCGGGGCGCGTGCGGCGCTGGTGTTGTGCTGTCCAGGGGCGCTGGCATGATGATGCCGGCGAGGCGTGGGGCTGGGCACCACACGACGCCTGGCAACGCGTTGTTTACATGTACACACAGTACACAGATAGAGGCATGCATGCATACATAGATACATCGATGTACACGCGCGCGGAGGCGGCTAATAACGTGCCATGGCCAGGCCGGCGGGCGAACACGATGCGCTGGCTGGTCAGCGCAGGACTGGGACGGCGATGCAAGCACGCAAGCAAGCACAAGCGACCAGTTCGCGCGTGGGTCGGACGGTGGGCGGTGGGCGGCGATGGTGTGCTGTATGTGGACGGCGGGCGGCGATGGCACGGCGGGCGGTCGTCGAGTTCGCGGTTGGACCTCGGGCGGGTCGCGCTGGGCGATGGGCTGCAGGCCGCTAGCGCCGCATGCAGCCTAGCGGCCCAGCCCCCCCAAAGCTTCCCAACTCATGCCCCTAGGCGGGCGTGTCAGTGCTCGCTGCTGGCCTGCCCAGCCCTGCCCGGCCTCTGCCCTGAGCTGAGCTGAACTGGATTGACACCTCCCCCAACCTCCCATCACACACAAACCTTCCGCCCCCCTCACAGCGCCCATCCCCACTTTCTGCTGCCCGCTCCAAAACCTGCGCGGCATGCTCGCGCTAGGTCGCCCCAGAGACCCAGGCACTCTTTCTCTCCATTGAAGCTCTCGCTCTCGTTGCCGGTAGCTCCCTAGAGCTGCCTCCTCACCGCTAGCCATGGCCAAGGGAGAGCTCATCACCATCGGCGCTGCCGTCACGGCGGCGGGCGCCACGTACAAGCTCGCCGAGTTCCTGACAAAGGCCAAGCGGGTGCGCGATGTAGGCCCATCCAACGCCGTCTACGTGCGCATCATCGGCCGCGTCCGCTCCGACCTCGACGAGGTGCGCCGCCTGCTCTCGGTCCGCGAAATCCACGACATCCTCGAGGCCAATCCCGAAAAGTCCAAATGGGTCTACGGCTGCATGCGCGATGTGCGCGGCGCCCTCGAGAACATTACGCCCCATACCGAGCGCGTCGCTGGCGACATTGAAGACGGCCGCCGTGTCGGCATGCGGCACCGCGTCTACTGGCTGCTCAGCGAGAAGGAAAAGCTCGAGAACCGCGAGAAGGAGCTCAACGTGGCCCACCAGAGCCTCGCCGAGGTCATCGGCTACCTGACTGCCCTCGAGCCCATCCCCGAGAAGGCCAAGCCCAAGCACAAGCAGACCAAGAAGGAAACCCACGTCGAAATTGACATTCACCAGCAGGCCCCTCCGCCCCCGCCTCCCGCTCCTGCGCCTGCTCCTGCGCCTGCTCCTGCGCCTGCTCCCGCTCCCGTTCACCACCACAGCACGCACATTGATCGGGATGTTTACATTGAGCGCGATGTCACTGGCCCGGGCCGCGTCGAGGAGCACCGCGACGTCTGGATCCAGCGCGACCGCCAGCCCCCGGTGCACTACGAGGAACGCCGCGACGTCTACATTGACGAGCGTGAGCGCGGCCCCCAGTACTTTGACGACCGCAGCCGCGGCCCTCGCCACGACAGCCACTGGGAGCACGGCCGCGACCACCGCTACGAGACGCACTACGACGAGCGCTTCGAGCAGCAGGACCACTACCGCTCGCAGTACCCCATTGAGACCCAGGATACGTACCAGCACAACCGCCTCTACCCGGAGCCCACCGGCCGTCCTGCCGAAGCCTTTGAGGAACGTCTCCCGGAACGCGACACCTGGCACCAAAGCAGCGCCCGCAACAGCCAACGCCCAGGTCAGTACGGCCCCTACGGAGGACAGTACGCGGAGTACGGCGCGCCGCAGCCCATTGGCGCCGCCCACTATACGCGTAGGTTCAAAGGAGACGCAGGCTTTGGCGACGAAGAGATACTAAATCCTCAACCAGTGCCACTGGACAGGAAGTATGCCGAACGCGAGGTGAGTGGTTACAAGACGGGCTACCCTCCCCGCTACGGTAGCAAGCTGTAAATGTCGGCATGAGGCTGACATGCGGCAGATGTGGATTGAGCAAAAGGAGGACTATCGCTTCGATCAGTACGGGAACCGCTTGCCGGATAGGCTGTTCCAACCGCCTATTCCTCGGCCGCATCGAAGCCGCATGTGAAATGGGATATACCTCTTTTGATTACGATCAATCTTTTTTCTAATGTTATGAGCCTCTCTGTCCACCCCCTCTAGTGTGTAAACATCCATCCCCCTTTGCCCCCAGTGCCCAATACTCCTATGTAGTTGGAATTTAAGTTGATACCTATCCCCCCCTAAGGCTGTTTCCCGTTGGTTTCACCACGTGGTTGATTCGTATGACTCGACTCGGCTTGGATACAACTTTGCAAATTACCGGTTCCGTTGGTCGAGATCCAATGCAGTTGAATCCAATGCTCAGATTGACGGCAGCAAACGTCGACATTATCAATCTCGCACCCATGGTACGCATCGCATCGCTACCACCAGACTGGAGAGCCCTCAATAGGCGGGGTGAAGTGGTAAAATGACCACGCCGACTTCACTGTCTCACTCATCTCCCCATTCTAAACATACCTCTCCATCGCCACACCAGCATCACCAGCATCACCATGGCCCGAATCATGCTCTGGAGCCGGCTCCGCTCCAAATTCTCCCTCTGCCTCCACGCCCGCTCCTCCATCTGGCCCGGCCGAACCCGCAGCATAGCCATGACGCTCCTCGTCTTCAGCCTCGCCATTTCCATGTTCCAATTCAGCTTCAGCGCCACCATGGCGCACCGCCTGCTGCGCACGCCGACCGAAGTGTGGTGCTGGGAAAAAATGGACGACACGGCCTGGGGCTACGACAGCGCCTTTGGGCCCGGCGCCTCGCCCTTCAAATATGGCTTCTGGAAAGAGATCAAGGGCCTGCCTGTTGCCTATGCCAATCTGGGTCATACGGTGCAGCCGCAGCGCGCGCTTGGTCCGGCGTTTTTGCGCGAGGGCGTGCCGGGCAGGATTGGGGGGAGTGCGTAAGTTTTGTCTTTTTTTTTTCTTTTCTTCTTTTTTTTTTCGTTCTGATACTGTTGATATGGAGGAGGATTCTCCTCCACACTCCAACATACTTACATACGATATATTCGTACCTACCTTACTAACGCATCTTCGCCCCCAGTACAATCATCATGGTACTCATCATCAACCCGCTCGTCCTCATGCTCTTCATCATCTGGTTCCTGCGGCGCCACGCATGGTCCTCGACTTCGGGTATCACAAACCGGTCCGCCATGCTGCTTTCGGTGGCGGTGCTCGCGTATTTCCTGCTGGATGCCGCGGGCATGGAGGTCCTGGATTCGTTCCCCACTAGCGATGCTAACGGTGAGTCGTCGTATCCGCTGTGCTGGCAGGATGATATCTCGATGAAGGAGCTGGCGCTGCGCGGACGCTGGGCTCGCTTTATGGTCGTGTGTGGACAGGCGACGGGCATGCTGGGGGCTGCCGGGTGAGTTTTTTTTTTCACATTCACATTCACATTCACACATATACGTACACATACAGATACTGACTAGTCCTGTGTACAAACCCGAGTAAGTGAGACAACGCTGACCATTTCGAGTAGAATGGCATCTTACTTCTTCACTGCCATTGCCGCCGCGCGGCTAAACCGCCAGTCGGAAACTGTGCTTGGTCTTGATGACCTGTCGAACCGCCACCATCACCATCACCATAACCCCAGTCATCCTAACAACAATAACAACAACAACAACAACAACAACTCTCGCCCCACGCATCGCAACCCCGAACAAGGCATCCCCCTCTCAGGTCTCTCGTCTCCAGCCCCCATCGCTCACACCCCCTCGAACAGAGGCTTTTCGTCGCATAGACTCGATGCGCGGGTTGAGCGTGATGATAAGAGAGGTGCGGCGCAGACGAGGGGGGACGTTGTGAATCCGTTTACGTGTCCTGAGAATGTGCTGAGGTAGGGTGGTGCGGTGGTGTGGTGGAGGGGGGGGGGAGAGAAGGGGGAGGAAGTGGAGGGTGGAAGGAGGTGATGAAGGGAGGTGTAATGAGATATTTAACGGTGGGGGGGGGGGGGGGGGGGCTGTTAAAGGAGAGCAGGGGAGTTGGGTGGTGGGGGTTGTGTTTAATTAAGTTCTACTATTTCTTTTCTTTTCTTTTTCTTTTTTTTCTCCCTTCTGGATTTCTTTTTCTTTCTCTTTTCACACTAGGATTGCGGGGTTTCTGTGTTATTTTACTTTTTTTTTCCTTCTTCTTCTTCTTCTCAAGTACTAGTGCGATGGATAACAATAACATTAATAATGATGATGATGATGATGATGATGATGACGATGATGATTAATTGAGAATAATGTTTCTCGAGATTATTATGGTGGTTGCAGAGAGAGAGAGAGGAATATAGGACTTATGAGTGAGGCGTGTGTGATGCAATTGGGTTTGTTGGAAAGATCAAGAGCGGAATGAGATGTTGTGTCGATTTGTTATGTTTTGTGAGTTGAGGTTGATGGGGGCTGATGGAGTGCAGTGGTTTTGGCCAAGGTAGTAAGTACATAATATTGAATAGCGGTTCACACCCCGAGTCGTGTGCTGAAATATGCTGCTGGAGAGAAGAATTGTTGAGCAAGCCGCTTATTTGTTGTAGAGTACACTATTTAGAAAAGAGGTAGAGTACTAGACACTGTATCTTATACACAATATATAGACAGCAATATACAATTTCATATCTGCGAAGAGCGAGTGCCTTTCGCAACTTCGAGACCTCGTTCGTGAGATAGACTTTTTACATTTCAGTTCGCTGCTGTATCTTCTGGCCAGAGCAAAGTCGTGTCAGTACTTTGACAAACAGAGATGTCAACAATCAAGCTCATCAAGCCGAGCTAACGCGATATAGTAATGATTAGGCCTAAAAAAGCTAGCCTATTACTGTATCAAGTTAGCTCGGCTTGATGAGCTTGATTGTTGACATCTCTGTTGACAAAGAAGCCCAAAACGGCGAATCCAAAACCAACACTCATACAATGTCTGACAAAGAAACAAAAGTCTCATTCATTGAGAATGTCCCATTTCCTTCATGCCTTGTGTGGGAAATAGCCATCTTTGTCTCATCGAGGAACATTATGTTCGTGTTTCGACGGTATGTATCTCTCTGCCCCCCCTTTTCTTTTCTTTTTCTTCTTGAAAAGTTATATAAAGTATCTTGCTGCAAAACGAAAAAACCATGAGTGGAGATTCAGATGATGGATTGCCAGAGAGCAGTGGAGCGTTTGAAGCTACGATTGAAGCGTCTTTTGAGCCAATGTCTTCCTCTCCAAGCATCCCCTCGTCCCCCCCTGAACAAACTCCTGCACCCGCGAAGAAGAAAACAGACGCCGAAATCCTGTCGGCATGGCTCAGCCAATTCCTCGTCGGATTCAAAACCAGCAACGATGTCACCGTGGAAATCAGCATGCGCGAGTTCCTCGAAATCACAAATACAGATACCAAGGCTGAAGGGTCGATATGCTACCTCGAACAGGATAGCATCGACATGGCGCTTGCGCTGCTAACATACAAGTACGAGCGCGGCAGTGACGTGTGCGTGCTGCGTGCGTACGAGGGCACTGAGCTGCTGCATATCGGACAGGGCGCGTATGGAGTCGATGATGTGGCGACCGACAAGCAGCTTCTGAGTAGCGTGCGGAATCCAGGGAAAAGATGGATTATCGTGCCTGTTTCCGACGGGATGTTGAAGGGCGAGGCTGCTGAGGCCGTGTTCAAGAAACCTGCTCTTCCTCCTACCATCGCCACCACTACCGCAGCCGCCAAAAAAGGGGGAGGAGAAACAACACTGGCTCCCTACGGCATCCACTGGGGTCTCCTGGTCGTCGACAAAAAGACCCGGCTGGCCCGCTGGATAGACAGCTCCCTTGAACTCGACAAAAGCCACACACACACAGGCAAAAGATTTATCCGCCACATGCTTCCCACGGGAAAAGCTGCCGCCTTTGTCCTCCACGGCATCGAGCGCATCCTGCTCGGCCCCCAATGCCGCCGCCGCGCGTTCAGCGCCAAAACGGCAAAGTACGTCCCGCACCAGTTCCGCGACAACAGCTTCAAGAGCGACCCTGGCGCCAGCTGCGGACCCTATCTCGTTGCGTTCCTCGAGTACCTGTACGCGAACCCCCGGTTCCTGGTGCAGCTCGCGAGTGCGTTTCGCGTGGAAAAGTGGAAGACGCATCGTAGGGATTTGGCGTTTGATTCGCTACGGACGAGGGTCGCCATGCAGGAGATGATTCAGAGGAAGAGCGAGATGGTGCTGCGCGGGGGCGAGAAGCCGCTTAGGATGACGGCTGAGGTTTTTGAGCTTTTGAGACCAAAGGTTTTGGCGCCGTTGGTGGCGACGGCTTGGAGGGCGTATGAAGGGAGGAGGGATAATGTGGAGTTTGATAATTTTTATTTTGGGGGGGAGAAGAGAATTAGGAGAGGTGGTGGTGGTGGTGGAACAGATGGCAGTAGTGGAACAGGAGGAGATGGAGATACTGGAAGTGAAGGAGATGTAGAATTTGGAAAGGCAGGAGACATACGATACCACGACATCGTTGAGACGGACTCGGAAGACGCAGACGACAGTTTCCTCTACAGCCCCACGGATATCAACGCAGTCCGCATATCCAAGCAGCTGCTCCGAGCAGAAATCCGGGGTAACCCCCAAAACTACATGGGCATTCCCACCAAAGACCTCAAGTACAAACGTGCATTCGAGCTCCTACAAGCCGCTGCTCTGGCCGCCGAGTCCAGTAAACTTACCACCAACCCCCCTGAGCCCAGCCCAGCCCTATCCACCGCACCTCCACGCCGCTCTCGTCACCCCATACTGCAATATCCAGACGGCATCGAAGAAGCACCCAGCGACTTTGCCGACGCAACCCAAGTGCCCCCAGCCCAAGTGAAGCAGTGGCGGCGCGAAAACCTCGAAAGCATCCAGAAATGCCAGCTCGGCGCCAAAGCCACGCACGACGGGCTATCCGTCCGGGCCATCCTCCAGGTGCTCTCTGGCGCAACCTTCACCCAAGAATCGGATTACCGACTTCAGCACATCTGGATCCACGACCCGGAGGTGTTTAGCCCGCACGAGCGCGAGCATCCCGAACGCTTGCTGCCTGGAGTCATTGCGCAGCGGCTGCGAGATAGATACGAGATCTTTGGTATGACGGACTTGGCTGAGACGCAGCAGCTGGCCTTGGCGGGTAACAATACTAGGAAACGGGGGCATGGCGATGGGGACGGCGAGGAAGAGCAGCAGCATGTAGTGAAGAAGCCGAAGACGACGAAGACGAACTAGTACGGCGAAACAGTAGAGGTATGTAAGGGTAAGGGGGGAGGGGGGGCGGGAGGCCTAGGGGACATTCGCGTAAACTTGCTCTCTTCTTTTTCTTCTTCTTCTGCTTCTTCTCTCTCCCTTTCCCTCGGGATTCCTTCTCATTTTCTGGATCTTTTCCATCTGGTTACTGATTTGTTCTGGGATCCTGGGTCTTGGAAGGGGGAGGGGGGGGCGGATTCCGCTAGCCAGTATTGACACCACGCCGGATCCAACACGGGGGTAAATGCACCTTGGAGAAAAGCGTTAAGTAACATGGGTGGGGGGGGTGAGAGAATTGTTATTTTTTTGCTATCCTGGTACGTAGCAGAACTGCTAAGCGAGTACCACCTCCCCCTCCCCCTCCCCCCTGCTGACGTCAATACGATAGCGATTTGTTTCAGCGGGATAGGAGCTGCTCGGAGGTATGACGAGAAACGGGGTAGTTTGGTGGTGGTGTGTGCTGCGACTGGAGCGTGCTGACCTGACCTTTGCCCATTGTCGCCGGGCCGTGCGGCCGGGCCGTGCGGCAACAGCACGTTGTAGTATAGTAGCAGTAGTACGTATGTATGGGATATCCTGTACGCCACATGGCGTTTTGGGGGCGAGGGGCCACGGGTTACGTGAGATCCAAAAGAGGCGGCATGCGATTTGGCCTCGGATCACAAGACTGCCGCTATCCGATGAGGTCCCGAAACGGTTGTGTTCCCAGGAATCGGGCGTTCCTGCCGGCACGGGTGTATTTTCTTTTCTTTTCTTTTTCGGCAGTGAACCATTGTTCCCTTCACCCGTCCCCCCCCCACCACCTCATCGAAAGAAATCGAACAGTCCCTAACTGTATTTGGCCTAGTACTGTTCGATTTCTTTTGATGAGGCGGTGCCCCTACGCTTACTTCACTTAACCGACTGCGCGCTATTGTGTTTCAAGATTTATGGGCTTGGCGGGGTTTTTCTTGACATACTTGCTGCTTTTGATTGGGTACTGCATGTGTACTACATCTGACTAGAAATGGGGGTAGCGTTACGTAAGGGTGGGAAGGGGTTCTCACTTCGGAACATCATCATGGCGGTATTCACATTGGTACTGTCGAGCAGTGACAGGGCATAAAGCGGAATGGCTAACATTGTATCAAGTATCATTCATCAAGTACATAACGCAATCCTTCATCCCAAAGCCATAATCTTTGCCAAAACATCGTCGTCACTGAGGCCGTCGCCCTTTATCGAGGCGTAGGCCGGTGCAAGGACCGTCTTCTCGATTTCAGTGAACTTGCCGTCATTGACAAAGACGAGCTCTCCATGCCTCGATTTGTTGGCCATCAAGTAAGCAACCGCACGGGCTACTACTGCAGGAGTCTGGCAGCTCTGAGACACAGCGGCAAGAAGGTCCTTGAGATCGGGCAGGACTTGAGTAGCCGTCCATGAGGGCGCCAGAGTGTTAACGCGAATAGGCAGACCAGCCACCTCTACTAGACGCGCGAAACTTCTGCCGAAACCCAAGACTCCGGCCTTGGCCGCGGCTGTGGCGTGCTGTTAGTAACATGGTGATGATTCAGGGCAGCATCGGCGAAATGGTGGCTTACAGTAATCGACGGCGCGTACGGGGTGCAGTCCCGTGCTAGAGCCCATGATGACAATAGCACCGCCCTCGGGCTGGGCCTTGATGTAGTGCGTAGCGAGGGTCACGGTCTTGACGACGCTGTCGAGATTGATGTCGATCGTGTCGTGGTTTGGCTCCTTTGGATCGCCATTCTCGTCCACCTCGAGGGCCAGGTAGTCGGCACGAGGACCAATTCCAGCGTTGGCAAAGACATAGTCAACTCGGCCATGCTTTTCCTTGGCAGCCTTGAAAAGCTTCGTCAGGTCGGCCCATTGCCTGACATCAGTCTGCACATGGAGGGCGTTTTTGTGAGCCGCGGGCGGTGCCTGGATGTCGCCGCTCACAACTAGTGCGCCCAGAGAGCCCAGTAGTTCGACGGTCGCGAGACCAATTCCTGACGACCCACCTGCATCGAGGTCAGCGGATCGATGTAGCAGTCTGATTGGGTGGAAGGATGCCTACCCGTAATAACGGCAACCTTGCCCTGGAAGCCCGTCAGGTCGGAATCGTTGATCTCAAAGGAAGCCATGTCTAGTGTAGTAAGGAATTGTTGCCTGGTGCAAGTATGTAAGCGAGGACAGGAAGGAATCAAGGACGGAAAAAGAACAGAGATATGCAGACACAGTGGGCCACGTAGGGGCAGATAATAATCAAAGCGGTTTGGGCAAGATAGGGACTGGCACCGTTACGTGGCCAGGACTTCGTGGCGAGACGCGGTTTCTCAAACACGGTCTAGACACGCAGTAGGAGAATTTTAGGAGTGGCATCCAAGTCGGGATGGTGTACCGTCGGGGGGGGCCCAGTTTAACACGGCAGAGCAAGGAGGCGGCCCACCGGCCACATGCCGCCGGCCTTTGAGCCTAAGTCGACTAACTTTACCACTACCCGTCCACGTTGTTCCCTTGCCCGTCAGCCGTAGCGTTTGCACCACCCAGCGGACCGTTTCTCGATCTCCAAACCACTCACTCATCTCGTTTCGGACGCATCGAGCTCTCCGTATAGTACGGATGAGGTGCTATCGTCGGAACCGCAGTCCTGGGCCCCAAAGCAGAAGAATCCGTTTGGGGCCTAGCAACGGGCCGAATACGGGAAAATTACGAAGGATCCGCACGCACAACGACAAGGGAATGATGGACGTTGCATGAAGCAGGTCGAAAATGGTCCTGTTTGATAGGCTCGCAACAACATTCCCGCTGGGGGTGGCTGTTGGCAGTGCAGGCGGTGACGGTGGCGCGGGAGCATGGATGGACTTGTGAAAGGCGCACCATCACCGTTGTTGCGACTCTGGGCACCCCTGGATCACGATACATGCACACGCACACGGGCAATTATGGACCTTACCCGTTGCTTGCCGGACGTAAGTGTCGCATTAAGAGTAGCCAAGTCCCGATCTAGCAAAGATGCACAAGACGTAGGGTAATACGGGTGTCAGACCCTAACACCGATGCTCGAAAAATACTGCTCGCGCCGTCAACAGGTTTGCACGTGAGCTTGGGGGACGCGCCATGATTCACCCCGAACTACCAGTGTCTCCTAAAGTGACGGGGTTGCATCCTTCAGACTGGTTAATAGATCTTCCCGCGAGCTACTGCACGACCTACTTGTCGTTCACTTTTCTAGACTTTCTGTCCCCTCTGCCACGCCTTGAACGCCCCTTCACCATCAAGCCACAACCATGACGACAACGGTCGGAGTGGCCGGAGACGGCGTGGCCCTCTTGTACTGTGCTATTATTCTTCTAGTATTGAGCTGGCTCATTTTTTGCATGCGCATTGGTGTCAGAGTGTGGAGGAAAGCCCTGGGCGTGGACGACTGGCTCATGTTGGCTGGAATGGTAAATCTGCAACTATCCACCACTGATTCAGGACACTAGTTGCTTACTTGTATAGCTTCTCTTCACGGTCACTGCCGCTCTCTGCATTGTCTGCTGCTTCTATGGATCTGGTCAAGTTTCTGCTGTGCTGCCGCCTGAAACCATGGCTCAGGGAATAAAAGTAAACATCATTGGACTCTACAAGCGACACTTGACGAAACTATATGCTGACACTGTTGTAGCTCTTCTATATTGCCGAGTACTTTTATGCCGTCGGAGCCATGTTCATCAAGATTAGTGTTGCAGTGGCGCTTCTGCGTATCTCGACTGGCCGCCCCTTTTTCAAATGGGGAATCTGGGGCTTGATCGGCGCTACAATCATCGCAGCGCTGGTGTTTTGCATTGGTATCGCCAATATCTGTAAGGGATCTGTTCATAGTCACCGAGATTGTGCACTGATCCAAACCAGGCCATCCTATCAATACTCTATGGGGAGAATCGCACGGCACCTGCAATCTCCAGCTCAACACCAACGTCAGTCTTTTTTACTCAGCCATAGAGATTGCAGCAGACTTTAGTCTCTCGATCTTGCCGGCCATTCTCCTGTGGAGCGTGCAAATGAAGACCAAAGTCAAGTTTTCGGTCGCCATCATGCTCGCCCTGGCTTCTTTGTGAGACTCACAATCTTCTGTTATATGGCCTATGCTAACCTTCACAGTGCATCGACAGCTACCATCGTCAGGCTCAAATATCTCACTCTCTACAGCGATCCGGGCGAGTTCATGTTCGGCACTGGAAAAATCGGCTTCTGGTCGCTCACTGAAGAAGGCATTGGTATCATCGCCGGATCGCTGCCCGCGCTTCGCCCTCTCCTCTCGCTCCGTATCAAAATCACCACCAGCTCGGCCCACAATGCGTCGAGCGGAAGGGCATACCACTCTGGATCTCACCACATGCCTCCACCGGCGCGCTCGCGCGGCATCGCCATGGACACTTTCCAAACGCTAGGCGACAATGATGAGGGCGACCACAGCGATGGTGATAGCCAGAAAAATATCATCAAGGAAACAAAGTTCACTGTGACTTCAAGTGCTACTGCACCGGGAGATAAGGGGATGGGGTGGAATGGCAAGAACCAGAGCCCTTGCTGAGCGCTAATGAATATTCAAAAAAAAATACCTACTTCGGTCTGCGGCGTGGTAGATACACGCCCACGCGCCTGATTCCTTCATGGGTAGCTGTCTCGACCTCCCGTCCTACAGCGTCCTACAAAGTGAGTCAGGAGGGCATGTGCCAATGCACTGTCTTGTAATTGAGGCGCTGGAGCCGCCGGTCATAATAGAAGTGACCAAGCGATTTGGAGACTGCAGGTTGCTGGCTCACGTTCTTTACATCTCCCATAATTGAAAAAGATATAGCCATACCAGTTACAAGGCTGAGACAACCCGTCCCAAGTGTCGTGGATCCAATCTTCGCGTCTATTGCCGGCGACGTTCTGACATGTTACGTAAAGCCTGGCCTCTCGCTGCCCACAATACCTTAGGATATAAGCTTTAGTCAGATCAACAAGCAAAAAAGATGCACGCTGCTGGCAGAATGACGTGTTGTTTCTACCAGACATGGTAACGACAACGGCAGGGCATGCAAACTTTACCAAGATGGAGAGTCGGTGCGGTCACATGAACGCGTGTAAGGCGTCTAGCGTCGAGATAAGTACTAGCACTGCCCCACGTTAGCCCGGATAAGCCGACCCCTCCAAGGAACAACATCCATCTCGCTCCAGTTCAATTTAGTATATATCCACCAGACTACATAATGAAGGCCGTAACCATGTCTCGAGGCTGTTTGTCAGCTTCACGCAATCTCACGCCGGTTTTCACGCAGTCCACCCGGGCTCCCCTTTGTTCTTTCACTACCACAAGGCCAGCATCTTCTGAAATGGACGCCGCAGCGTTCGGCGAGCAACACATTGCCAGAGGAATTGGGCGTCTCACCAAGCACGTCTTTGAAGATGGAAAAGGCTCATACATCACGACCGACAAGGGCGTCAAGCTCCTCGACATGACGGCCGGAATTGGTGTCTTGAACGTCGGCCATTGCCACCCCAAAGTCAGCGCAGCGGCAGCTGCACAGTGCATGAAAATCACCCACGCACAAGTCAACATTGGCTTCAGCGCGGCTCAGATTGCTCTTCTCAAAGAGCTGGTTCCCATCCTTCCCCACAAGTCTCTCGACACCGTCTTCCTATGGAACTCTGGAGCCGAGGCCGTCGAAGCAGCCGTGAAGCTGGCTCGCGCTGCCACGAAAAAGCAAAACATCATTGTTATGCAAGGCTCGTACCACGGCCGGACAAATGCCACTGCCTCGATGACACGCTCCAAGACCGTCTACGGTGAGGGCCACGGACCGTTGATGGGTGGAGTGTTTGCAACAGCCTTTCCATACTACAGCCAGCTTGGCCTCCCTGTCGATACACCGCAAGAGAAGCTCATAGAACTGGCACTGCTACAAATGAGGCTCACCCTGCAACAGCAAACTGCCCCCTCGGACACGGCCGCCATCATTCTGGAGCCTGTGTTGGGAGAGGGCGGCTACGTCCCCGCGCCCCCTGAGTTCCTGCACGGACTAAGGCAGATTTGTGACGAGAACAACATGCTCCTTATTGCCGACGAAGTCCAGTGCGGCATGGGCCGCACAGGACGCATGTGGGCGGTACAGGAATCCGGCGTGCGGCCAGACATTCTCATCTTCGCCAAGGGCATTGCAAACGGTTTCCCACTGTCCGGCATTGCCAGCCGAAAGGAGCTCATGGACGCCCAGAAGCCGGGATCCATGGGCGGCACATATGCCGGTAACGCGGTGTCGTGCGCCGCCGCACTGGCAACTATCAAGGTGTTTGAGGAAGAAAAGGTGCTCGAGAACACGGCTGCACGCTCCAAGCAAATCTTCTCCTTCCTGCAGAACCTCAAGGCGTCCGGTACCAAGGCCGGCAACCTGATCGAAGACATCCGCGGATCGGGTCTCATGGTCGGAATCCAGTTTTCCAACTCGAGCCTCCAGTCAGGGTCGTCGAATGCCGCTGCAGCAGACGCCAAGAGCCAGTCGCAGATAGCGCCAAAGGTTGTCCAGGAGTGCGTCAAGCGCAACATGCTTCTCCTCAGCACCTCGGTATTCGACGTCGTCAGGTTTATCCCACCGCTCACCGTGACGGAGCAGGAGTTGCAGCAGGCCTGCGACATCTTCAAGGAGTCTCTAGAGGCCGTAGCCAAGGATCTGTGAGAGTCGCTGTACATACATAATTTTCTCACGAGCGCGTTTGCATTCACCAAGTACGCGTTACTTGGCGCGCACAGCCAACCCCCTCCATTCATGAATGTTTTTCTTATCCATTCAAAGCGCTTACGTACCGTATATATGCTTGAATGGAACAATCAGGTTGTCGTTGCAAACGCTCATCTCGCTACGACAATATGTCACTGCAGTCGCCTTTTGATTTGGTCGGAGGATCGACCCGTTCGTATTTCGCTGTCCGAGCTAAGTACGTACCCAATTAGCGCGGCTGTTATCCCATTTCATTACAAGACGCTGCGAGGCGCTTGCTGTCTATGTACGGCTGTACAACCATCATGACTCGAGTTCATGCAATATACATATATATATATATATATATATATATATAACGTCAAAGTATAGCGAGTGGCCGAGAATAGCGAGTGACCGAAAATGCCAAGCCCCCATCAACTTTCACTACTACTCGCGATGTCTTAACAAATTTATTCAAAAAAGTCTTTAAAAGAGTCTTAAGTACAGCTTGCAATTTAGGCTATTAAATGCGACGCGACAATTAACATTCTACGCGCTGCAGCTCTCTACAACGTGCCTAAACGTACCCTAAGACGAAGACTCGCAGGAAAGCCTTCTTGACAAGATTGTTCGCCTAACTTAATGAAACTACTTATAATAGAAGAGGAGGTAATTGTTAAGAATATTCTTGATCTTGATGCAAGAGGATTTCCGCTGCGCCTTTCTGCTGTCAAAGATCTAGCTGATTCTTTGCTAGCTGCCCGCTACCGCGACCTTATTAGCCCTACAGTGCCCGTGCACCAGATGAGCACCATCGCCAGTTGAGCACCCCCACCACCACAACAACAAAACTTCAACGCGTCAAAACTCAACCAATATGGACCCGATTCAAGAAGCGATTGCAGAAATCGAATCG